GTGTCTTTGTATTTTAGCTATATTTTTCTTTCTCTTTTAAAAAGTTATGTCTTTCTCTATTAGTGAGTAACTAATAGGTAGAGTTTTTAAGGCAATTTGAAATTTTTTCATGAAGCAAGCTTGAAAGCATCGATTTCAACGTGGAAATACCGGCCTCCCAGCGATGGTGGTGACGGCAATGGCGGTGGTAGTAGAGAGTACGTGTAGGGAAATTGATGCTTTTTCATTGTTTTCTTCTACAGTTTTAGTAGTGACAATGACCGGCCCTAATCCCCAAGAAAGCTATACCCATTATGAATAATGCTAAAGGCAAAACTAGGCATAAAAAAAGAGAGCATCCCACCAATCGATACACTTGAACCGTAAGGGAAGCTTTTGGGAAAGTAAGGGATAGGGAAAGAGATTAAGAGAATCTTGCTCATTGAATTAGATCTGGATGAGGCCTTCGTGGCCTGTTTTGCAGTCGGCTAGGCCGCAATGGCTTCACCCATGGCCGCTAGCAAAGGTGAGGGCGCAAAGGCTTTCACCCAGATCCGACGAGGGCTAGGTCCTCGCCGGCCAAAAGGAAAGGAAAAAATAAATAAATAAAGAAAAAATAAATAAAAATCAAATTTTCTTTAAAAAAATTATTAAAAATTTTGCACCTCAACTCCAGCCGTGCCATATAAGACACCGGAGTTCACATCAACAATTTCCTGTCAAAATTGACCGGAGTCCATGTCACGTGATGCGCATGTACCTATTAAGTCGACAACCCCTTGCATGCAACAAATAGAACACCTTTGATCTACCCTTTCGCATTCTATTCTGTTAGTTTGTTTTCCCCACTCAATTCCTCTCTCTCTCTCTCTTTCTTCCAACTTTCAAGGCAATGCATAATTGGAATACATGCATATGTTTTAGTTCGATTTTTCTCTCTCTTTTCAAAGTCATGTTACGATACACTTCCAACTAACAAGATGTTACGATACACTTCCAACTAACAAGACAATTGCTGAAGAAACTTATATCTTCAAAGGTTTGTCTAAAAACCAACACGAACAAGTGATTTGGATGATTATGCGAATGTATGCATACGATGCTCATGACTATATAATCAATAAATGCCCAGCGATTTATCTTGCCTTGTGTAATTTGTCCATTGATCTGTAAAACGATATCAACACAGAACTTTTAAAAAGAAAACAGGTGCGGATTAGAAAATTTCGATCTCCCTTATTTTTACTTTATAGGTGCCGTTAAATTGTCAATTGTCAACGGATAAAGTATCAACAGTAAACAAAACGATGTCAACGGATAATGTTATCTTGGATATGGGAACAGATGATATGGTTACGCATGGTCTATGGTCCATGCTCCAGACTCGTGTGGCTCCCATTTTTCGTCGATTAGAGAAAGTGCAACAAGGTGGCCATTGGTCCAGAACAATCTTGAGTACAAAGCAAGGGGTAAACCGATGGCTACGAAGATAAACCCTAGCTTTGAAGAGAAAGGTGTATGCAACAGTTTTCTCCTTCATCTACTATATATACACACTTGTAATGCACATCGCATACTTGATGTGAATAGAGATTGCTCGGTAAAGACATTTTAAGATTGGTGGTTGTTCATGTTAAGTTCTAAATCCACAAAAAAAAAAAAAAAAGGTTTTACGCACAGTAAAAACGGATTCGTACCCATGATTCCTGGTTTGACATACCAAAAGCTTGAATTATCATCACTTCAATTTAGTCGCCACTTCTTGACCCACCATCATTTGACTGACATGGTGAGGTTGTTTGCCGCACTTTGTGGCCTATTTCCAACCGAGTCGCTCGTTTAGCTGATCCATGAAATCGATCGATAAGCTTGATCTTCTTTTTTCTTTCCATCTTGTCGTAATTTCAGTGATCTTTTGGATGGCATGTTGCAGAGACAGGCATGGACCATTTCAATAGCATAAATCAAAAGAGAATGATTGAGTCAATCTGTTATGATCGAGCTTTGGGCCTGCATGCACATGATAGGTTCAATGACTAACCGTAAAGTGGAATGAGACAGCTTACCAAAACCCTAGCTTAGATTTCTCTTTTTCTCGACGATTAAACCTAGCTTAGATTACAGGTGAAACTGTAACAAAAGCCACGTTATGATAAAGATTGATTATGAGATATCATACGGACCGAAGAAAACCCAAAAAGAAAAAAGAAAAATGGACCACTCACCAAATCTCCACTTTCCACCAATGCATTCGACCTCGTGACAAAAGGGTGAAAGAGATTATGTGCGACTAATTGGACATTAATCTTGATTTAAAAGGTTATGATGACGTAAATGTGATGCAAACTATACCAATATTACGCCAACTATGAGATCCAAAAACAATATTAGGATTGGTAATTCCTATGGGAATTGTTGCGGGACCACTGCGACGGCATTAAGCATTCATTAGTTTCTAATCGTTAAATCTATACGTTAACATTACGCATGCTTGGAACCCTAATTTTGATGTCCTTTCTTATCGGTTCGACGCGGTATCATTGCTTCTTATTGATTCAAAAGCATGTCAAGCGCATGTATCGAACACGACTAATCGGGTCGAGTTGAAAACGAGCTAGGAACATGACGTTTCCGGGACACAAAAGCTCCAAACACCTTAGCGACTAAATTAGGTCGGTACATTTGGATGGGCTTATGGCATGTATGGTCACCGGTTGATTACAATTAATTTCATAATTGATTTGTACCGTATTAGTAAAGCGGATAAATAAGCCCGGATGAGTGGCTCGAATATTAAGTTGCCCGTACATGATGATGTCGAGAGTTGGATATGTGTCGTACGCCTAATTCAAACTCACAAGTTCATTCATTCACCACTAATCCAACCTTAGGCTCAAGGAATCTAAGTGTTCACAGCATGAGAGAGAATTTTTTCTCTATAGTAATTTTATTATGTGACAACAATGCGTGGAGTTTAGAAGCCAGCTTTTCATACATTCAAAGGCAAAATTTATTGTGATGCATATAATTAGGTACTGTCAAATTACGATTAACTGGTATTCTGAAACTGCACTGCCATTTGGGGTCTTTGGAAATCGAAAACTGCATTGTTTTCAGGGACTATCAACACTCAAGCTGGAGTGAATCCCCATGAACTGGAATGACACTCTTCACAGTCCCAATTATTGAGCTAGGGACTGTATCGGTTTAGTACCCCGAGCTAGTCTCCCTCCAGCTTTTGCCCCGTCAGCCAATCGAAAGAACCTTTTGACTCGACCATCTTCGAACCAAAGTCACAACAGCCGGTGGCTCGCAGCCTGAATGTTGCCTTTTCGAATTCCTTACAAGGGAATGTCCACAACTATCAAGTTCCAGAACATTACTAGGGACTGTCCACAATACAAGTTTAACGTGCTGTTAGTGACGAAACATAACGAATCTTGCCAAACTCACTCACCAGAATATTAATTTTCAATTATAGTCGCACTCCAAGGGCATCAAGTAAAAGAGCTGAGGGGATCAGAAGTTAAAGAAATCTGAAACATTTGCCACCGGCATTTGATGACGAGGAAGTCGAGCACACTAAGGCTGTGTTCGTTTCCGGAAAAATATTCTCCCGGAAAATATTTTTCGGATTTTCCGGTGTTCGGGGGGCGAAAAACGTTTTCCGTAGGAAAACATTTTCCTTCCCCCCTCACAAAATAGCCTAAGTTTATGAAAAATGACTTCCGCTTCTTCAAAAGCGGAAATCATTTTCCGTAGCTGCTGCTTCTTCTTCTTCTTCTTCACTATTTTTTTTTTCATTTTTTTCGTTCTTCTCTTTCCTCAGCGCTGTGATCGGCGACCGGCCAGTGGCGAGGCCCGAGCTCGCCGGCCTCAGGCGACCTCGGCCTCGCCGCCATCTGGCGACGTCGGGCGAGTCTCAAGCCTCGCCCAGGTCAGCAGATCCGGTGAGGCCGAGCTCGCCCGAGGTCGGCGAGCTCCAACCTCACCAGATCCGGCGACCTCCTCGCCCGAGGTCGCCAGACGTCGGCGAGGCTCCAGCGACCTCGAGCGAGGCTCAAGGTCGCCGGATCTGCTGATGCTTTGATTGTTTTGTTTTCTGGTGTTGCTGTTTGTGGGTTCTTCTTCTTCTTGTTCGTGGGCGAGGCTCCTCGGGCTGCTTGATCGCCAGCGGCGACTTGGGCCTCGCTAGATCCGGCGACCTCGAGCCTTGCCCGAGGTCGCCAGACATCGGCGAGGCTCCGGCAACCTCTGGTGAGGCTCGAGCCTCGCCCAAGTCACCGGATCTGGCGAGGTCGGGCTCGCCGGCCTCGCCGGATCTGGCGAGGTCGGGCTCGAGCGAGGCGGAGCCTCACCGGCAGGCCGGCGAGGCTCGACCTCTGGCTCGAGCCTCAGGCCTGGGCGATGCTCGAGCTCGCCTCCGGCCGATGCCGCGCTAGGCCGCGGCCGTTACCCGGCGACCTACAGGAGAAGAAGCAAAAGAAAAAGAAAAAAAAAAGAAAATATTAAAAATATTAAAAGTATTGCAAGAAGGAAAATCATTTCTATACCGAACAACGGAAAATATTTTCCGAGACTTTTTCAGATTTTAGCCGAATACCAGAAAATTGTGTTCCAGGAAAATATTTTTCAGGAAAATGACTTCCGGAAAAATATTTTTCAAAAGAAGAATATTTTCTGCCAAACGAACGGAGCCTAAATTGGAACTGTAAATGGCATGGGCTCTTACGACTTTCAGACCCCGTTCCAAAGGCCAAACTCTCGTGTACTCAGACAATTGCCTATGTTCCTTTCAGATTTTTCATCAACATGCAGAGCCATACATCTTCCTAGGACCTTTAAGCATCTATGAGGCTCGTTCTTGATTTTGCTTTTGTCGCAATCTTACCCTATTTGTTTGCCTTCAGAATTTTCTGATCGATACCAGGCACGCAGCAGAAAGTGCAATCTCTTCACCCTTAAGCTCTCCTGTCCATCTCCATTCAGCCGTACATAGTCTAATGATTTTGAGCTGCGACTTTTTGGTAAGAGGAAGAAACAATTTCATTACTAAACAGCAGAGTTTACATCAACAAGAGTTAAAAACACTCGAAGAAAATACGACAATGGAAGGAAATTTCACGAGTCTACAAGAAGTTAAATTTCAAGGTGTCTTGCCACAACAAATTGAGCACCTCAGGTGGAGGCCTTGTAAAACAGTTGAGGTATCAGGAACACGAGTTCTGTTCCGCCCCCTGGGCTACAGCATTAGCACAATTGCTGACTTCGCAGAACACAGGCTGCCCTTCAAAGTTCCAGAATTCTGGCACCAGCTTCCTGCAATCAGATATGCATGAGTCGACATGATATTATGAGCAGAACGTATACTAAAAGGCATAAAATATGACATTTTGCACCGTGTTCAACCTGTCACTCAATTGACCTCAATAGGGAAAAAGAACATAATAGACCTACATATGCCCAAAGTCAAAGATATCTGTCTACAGTTCCATGTTGCAAACACAGTATCCTTGCTAGTAATTTCCTCAATGTCTTAGTAATTTTCTCAACATGGATTTGCAACTTAAAGCTAGTAAGTTTGTTATCAGAGATGGAAACTTTCCAGGTAAACCGGTTAGTAACTTCCATGGTCACCGGGCCATAAACGAATTCCTCCACAGCCAGTCAACATAAACGCCTGCCAAGTAAATAGGATCTGGCTCAGGTGCCAAAGGGCGATCTAAAAGATTCCAAACTCCCTAAGAATGGTCATGTTTTCTGTATCAATAGACAGACGACAGACTATGGTAACATTAATTCCCCTATTCATGAAGTAGAACTTCCTGGGGGCCTTTAAATGAAGGCAAGACAACAAGATGAAGATTAAAGCATGCCGTGGAGCTAGTTTCCAGATCTACTCCCACTCAGCTTTCTTGTAAAAGGGCTAAGATATGCAGTGAGCTTGCAAGCAGAGTGGGCTTCCATTTGAAGATAGATCTAGGCTCTAAGATCAAGGCCCTCTCTCCTCTACGGTTTTCCATAGGAATGGCAAAAACATGATCCAGAAGCTGACAAGTGACTCAATAATTACTTAAGCTGCTTAAGTGCACAAGTTTCAAATGTAATGATGCCCAAAAAAGAAGAGAGAAGAAAACAGATCGTATACTTCAGCAAAACAAGCCAACAAACTATCTGGTTCTCCCATATGCCGTGAATGGGACAGCTCTTAGGGACCAATCGGTTTTCTACTTTTACTCATTGCCTTATCATGAAATGGGATTCTTGACCATGAAGAGCACATTTTTACAATGAAAAAATAGTGCACTACATACCAAGTGCTTTTTCTAAGGGTGATTTGACGACAGAAGGGGCCCAGAACTATCTACTAGAGGTTAAGTTCTAGTAGAATCAGCACATGACTTTCCACATAACATTACTGTGAGAAGGATATAAATTCAGGAGCCTAGATACTTCTTTTTGCTCAACAGAAATAAGGTATTTGTTCAACGCATATATATAGATAAATTATTTTTGCTCAACAGAAATGCGTGTGCATTCTTAAACTAAACAACGTCTAGAAAGGACATATATAGATAAATTTAGCACAACATAACTTAAAATCTCTTCGAAAGCACCACTTTGAATCATTTTTTCTCCCTAACTGTGACGAAGAACATTACTTGTTTCTGACTTTAACTACAAGGCCTTGTACTGCCCCATGATCTTCTGCGCATTTGCGCATGCACACAGAGAGAGAGAGAGAGAGAGAGAGAGAGAGAGAGAGAGAGAGAGAGAGAGAGAGAGAGAGAGAGATTAATTACCTCTATTTACCAACTTCAGAGAGTACAGACAAAAGATGGCGCATCCGTCCTTGGTCCAGCAAGAGTACGGTAAACATAAACTTTATAAGACTGGCCATCATCGACCTCATCCTTCATTACCTCAACATTCAACCGTGGCCTTTGCCTAGCCAACAACTTACAACCACTTAGCGTCACTTTGCAAGCAGACATCCACAAAGATCTCATTGACTCATACTTCTCCAAGCCCGAAAGAAGAGCTACATTACCGAATGGACTATCCCTTATTTCAAGTTTCCTCATCTTTGGGCAACCATCCAGTATACACTGCATCCCGCGATCGCTGCCCTCAGCAAAAGCCACCGAAAGCGTTTCCAAGTTCTTGGCATATCTTCCAATATACTCGAACGTTAAGTCAGTCAAAAGACCAGAAACGCCGAGCCTTCGGAGATTCGTGCAAGTCTTCACAACTGCACCAAAACCCTCGTCCATAGGTTCATTTGTTAGGTAATCAGGTTGCCCCGGCTTCATTATGCAAAGACGAAAGTGGGTAAAACCAGGGCAGTTCTGCACAATTCTGGCTACAGCAGCATTTGTCATCTGACGGCAAAAGTAGAGGACATAGTGGAGCTTGCGGCAGCCGAGCGACACAGCGAGAAACCCTGATTCAGTCACACCACGATTAATGTCCTGGTCATAAGGATCAGCTGGGAAGACTCGAAGCTCCTCTAAAAGGGGACAATTCGAGGCAACAGCCTCAAGCCCTACATCTTCAACGGTGTCAAGTACCTGCAGTGGGAACTTGATTCAGATATGAACTTCCCTTTGTAATTGTAGCTGAAAATAAAAGATAACAGATACACCCGTAGAGAGCTTGTCCTCGGTCACCTTACTTGAACTAAAAGCAAAATATGGATCTCTAAGTAGAGAAGGCCATAACTAGTTAACACAAACATGACGTGACCTCTCCCTCGCTCCCTCCCTCTTGGGGAGAAGGTAGATCTAAGTGGTGATATTGTTGAGAATGGATCTAAGTCGAATCTGATCTCGTGCAGTTTCACATAAAAAATTGAGAAGGATTACACATTGAAAATAAGGATCCATTTCTCCTTTTTTGGCTTGCATTAACTCAGACTGGTTAATGAACAGAACCTGTAATTTGTCTACAACAGAAACCAGTGAATGTCTGTAATGCCGTTAATACTACAAGCACAAACATTGCGAAGTCTGGTGTAAATAGGTAGTTGAGTATAGCTCACAGTACACGCTAACTTCACATGACCTCTCAGCATTACTTCAAAGACTCGTAGCAGAGATCTTCTTCACTGAAGAGTAATTTTTCTCGTACAAAATGCTAAGCTTATCTATCAAGAGTCAAGAATAAAATCGAAGGTGAAAAGCATACCCAGAGACGCTGAAGATGTGGGCAGTGGGCAACAAGCTTAGCAAGTTCTTCACTTTGCAAAGCAGCATAACTTAAATTCAGAAAAGTCAACTCTGTACAGGCCGGGTAAAGAACTGGCAGATATAGCGTTGTAGCTTCCCACAAGCCAGAGAGTGCATGCAGATTCTTGCAACTAATGAAAGCTCTTTCAAGCTCCACGTACTGGTGAGCAGTAAGCTCTTGTAAAAACGAACCAGTACCAAGCTCGGTCAATTGAGGAGCGCGGACAAGCAGCCTCTGCAATTGTTCTAGCGTAATATTTTTATTAACCTTCAAAATCTTCAGTGACTTGCACTGACTTACGAGCCTTTCAAGAGCATCAAAATTCACGTCACTACTTAGACTTGCAAAGTTCAGCACCTCCAAAGATGTGAAGTTTTCAGGGAAGCAACTCAACCAGTTGCCACTGATATCATCAATGCCATTCTCTTGTATATCCAGCTCAGTCAAATGTCTGTTCAACAACAACAATTGAAAAATGAGAAGTGTATGACATACCACCTATCAAGAATTTAATGATGGATTGAATTCAGCATTTAAGATAAATCAATCATCTAGAATCATGATTTACAGTAATTGTTTAATTTTAGCAAGTAATGATCATTAAGTAAACATAGACCATAGAATACGAAACGAACAATATGCCCTTGCAGCAGAAGGATAGGACCATTTGATTGACATAAAGAGGTACATTTAGTTATTAGGAACTTCAACATTTGGAAGTAGAATGTTGAATAATATTCACATCTTAAACTGTAGAAGGACTTCTAGCAAAGAGATGATTACTACGTTTCGAGTCCGATATTTGAACATATTGATGCTAAATCTAATATCTTAATTGACAGACAGAAGTAACAACTTCCTGGAAACCAAATGACCAGTTACTTGGCAATAAAATATATGCGCATGAAGTGCATTCTTTTCGCTTGAAGATAGAGTCATATGCTAATACAGTCAAAGGCTGGCATTACTACGTGTAACCATCGATCAGACAGCATTGTGCAAGTCAAGAGTGTCCTGAGGAGAGCCACTCATGCCTGAGCCTCAGTCTCCCCCCACCTTTCTTCCTCCTCCTAGTAACTCGCTTGCTTTTTTAAGTTATACAACACGGAAGGAAGTAGATTGGCTGATCTTTTTGCCTTCTATAACAGCTAAAAAAATTCTATTGAGCGGCACCAATGGTAAGTCAACGCTGAACACAAATACAATTCTAAGTAGAAGTATTTAGTACATATCAAATATCTAGCCCTTCCTATCTCGTGTTTGAAGGGAAGAAGAAATTGAACCCTTCATTGCAAAATCGGTCTCCGCTCACTACGACTTAAAACTCTTCTACTCCTCCCCAGCATACTAGCCAAAAAAGTTGGGGGAGAAAGAGATCATTAATAGGTCGTGAAGTTCCCTGTGCCATCAATTGCCATCTAAAAGCCAAGTTCTGCCGATTCCAATCGAAATGTGAAACCTTTTCTTCACTTACGTTTAGTGTAGCCCCTATCCTATAGCACAAAGAACCCCTTATTCCAGACCTTCATAGCAAAGATCGATTGCTCACCCATGTCCTCGCAATACGTGAGCGGGTGGTGCCATTGCACCAATCCTACTCCGAGTACAGAATCGCGGTTCGTTCGACTCGAATCTTCCATGAAGTCGCAAATACAGAACAAACTCTTCCTCTGCTAAAACGGAGTTTATACTGGTACAAGATATGGACAAAGTACTCTCTTAAGGTCTCCCGAAGATCTCTGACATAGGTCGTAGATACTCCCTACTCATTTCTATTTGCAGGTACTTTGCAAAAGACCACGGTGGAAAATTCTCTCCAATAATTCATCTGGCAAAGCTAATATTATCATACCTTTTGCCCCCATAAATAGACATCTAGATAATTCTGCGTGCGATGACCTCAATTAATAGAGGCCGCCCATTAAATGCTCGATTAACAGGTCAAACGTCACATCAAGAAAGGAACACCAAAAAGATGAGGAAAAGAAAGGGCCAAAAAAGAAAAGCAGGAGCACTTCACTCCAACTTTCCCAAATTCGACACCTTATGAAAGAAAGAAAGGCACGCGACCACCCTCCATTCCTCCTCCCAATCCCCACCCGAATAAGCAACATAATCAGATTAATCCCTTATTCCACACATGCTCATTTGCAATTTAACGAGAACCGGCTTTAAATTACCACAAATCGCAATCTTTGACCATTGCTTAAGCAAGCTAATGTCAACTGGATTGAGAACCAGGAAACCAATCAAGCGGGCGTAGCAGATTTGGTATTCGCACCTGCAGTCGGTTGCGATTGCCTCGAGACCATCAGTACTGAACCCATCACAGCTTACGAGCGAGAGCGCCCTGAAATTCCGGAACTTGCGAGCCAAGAACTTCAAGCTCTCGTCCGTCACGGTCATCCTCTTGAGCCTCAGCTCCTCCAGCAGCGGGTACTGATCCGCGAACACCGCGAGCCACGCGTGCACGTCCGCCCCCCAGTTCGGCGGCACCATGTTGAAGTCCGAGAACCGGGGCTTCCCCTTGAGCATGACCCCGCGGATGTTGGGGAACCGTCGGGCCACGATCTGCGGCAACACGGCGTAGCAGTTGCCGATGAAGACGTGCCGCCGCGTCCACCGCTCCGCGTTGTACCACGCCTTGGACACGAGGGAGACGGCGCTCCGGTCCCGGTGCGAGTCTATGAGGGACAGAATCCGCTCCAGCACGTCGTTCGGGAACTGCATCACGCGGGCCGTCTCGGCCGAGTCCCGCGATTTACCCGGATCCATGACCGACCCCCCACCCCACCCGGAATCACCAACGCCCCAAGCTCATGGCTTTGCGCCCCCGGATCGATCCCGGACGGCGGAACGGCGGCCGACCCAGAGCTCAAATGCAGCTGCTGGTCGCCGCCAAGGTCTCCGCTTTACGAGCCGAGCTTTGCCCAAAAAAAAAAGAACTTGCCGCTGGAGCTGACGGGGAGGGAAAGGGAGAGAGACCCAGATGACCCAGATGAGGATTCGAGGACCAGGGGTCAAAGATTCGACCGGGGGATTGGAAACCGAGGGCAAAGATTCAGATTTGATACATGGGTCCGGGAGGAGATTGGGTTTGGAGTTGAGTGATGTATGAATTTGGAGGTGAGGAGGTGGGAGAGGAGAAGGGGGGAAGGGAAGAAATGGAGGGAGGGGGAGGGGAGATGGGTAATATAGAGGGAGAGAAGGGAAGGAGAGAGAGAAGTCGATGTCAAGAAGACAATAATGAAGGAGATTATTGTGATCCCCTGTTTAGCTCCACCCAAAGGTGAAGCTGACACGCTCTCTCTCTCACAGAAATGGCAATTTGGGCAAGACAACAGTAGAGAGAGAGAGTGACACACACTGAAGAGAGAGAGTGACACACTGTAGAGAGAGAATTAGAACAGTGAAGAGAGAGAAGTGGAGAGAGAGAGGGGAAGTGAAGAGAGAGAAGTGTAGAGAGAGAATTAGAACAGTGAAGAGAGAGAGGGGAAGTGAAGAGAGAGAAGTGTAGAGAGAGAATTAGAACAGTGAAGAGAGAGAAGTGTAGAGAGAGAGGGGAAGGAAGGAGGGAGGGAGGGAGGGGGAGGAATCGTCAGGGTCGTAGCCCACCACACCTAATCTCGGGCCTCATGTGCGCCCGGGGGGACAGCCTATGGGACGCCGCCACGTGGGCGGGGAGGGGGTTGTCGGGGGGTGAGAACACTGTGGGGCATTTGACTTTGGTGTGGCCTCTGCGCAAGATGGCAAAACTTTATGAGTTTTGAGCAAATTCGTGAAAAGGAAAATTACAGGCTTCTGCATTTTCTTCTTTTTAACAATGGGATACATATTTAGTAAGAAAGATTTGATTTTTCCAATCATCAGTTACCATGATGGTACGCGTCGAGAATTGCACTAGTTCCTTATTCGGATGCTTAGTTTAAAAAGCGTCCACCTGACCGTATCGTTTGTAATAATCTGGATAAGATGGCACTCCATTGAAAATTGCAATATTTCCTTATCCGGATACTTAGAAAGTACCCTTACTTGACGGTATCGTTTGTAATAATCTGGGTGACATGACATTACACTGATCTTTATCGAGTAAATTCGTTCGATCAGCCCGTGCTCTCAGGAGTAACTCTGAGGCGATAAACAAGTATCGTTATTTAGAAAGTACCCTCCTAACGGTATCGTTTGTAATAATCTGGGTGGCATGGCACTCCACTGATCTTTGCTGAGTAAATTCGCTCGATCAGCCCATGCTTTCGAGAATAACCCCGAGGCGATAAACAAGTATCGTTATTACCCTACATGATTCTAACATAAGCTTTGTTTATACATGATAAAAAGAAATGTCCGAGCACTAAGCGAGAAAGATGGACTCGCCTGGCGCTCCAGTAGCTTCTCGAAACCAACACGTTTGAGTTAAAGTAAAAAGTTTGAAGAAATACCCTTCGAATTTTAAATAATTATGAAAAGATTGCATGTGAATGCCCGTGTTGATATATATATATAGATCCGTAATTAAAGTTTCAAATATTCTAAAAATGAACTAAGAGGGAAAATTCAAATTTATAGCCATTTGCGTGTGCGGACTACAAAAGAGATATTGCCCAAACTGACCCCAAAAAAAAAAAATTGGCTGCCTCACATATGCATGTTGGAAAGACAGGGATGGTGGGTAAGTACATTCAACGGGGGACCTCCACTCACATTTTCAAAGTTCCCTTTTCCATAATTTGTATTATTATTTTTTTTATCCGGTATTAATATGAATCATTGATTTTGCAGCTTTGATCCCACTAAATTTTGGTCAACATCGTCTGTCCCTTCATAATAAAATAATAATAATTTTGAGGAAACCCTTAATTGTAAGTTTGTAATAATGATAAACATGTTCAAGAATTCACATTTTTGCAAAGATCAGATCACTTGTACCCAGTAAAACATAAATGAAATAAAATAAAATAAAAGCTATTACTAGAGCTTTTCTTATCCAACATAAAGTCGAAAATTAATTTTCGCTTTCAGTAGTCTTTACAATTTAATAATCAAGTTTTTTTTTTCGAATTTCAAATTCATGACAAAATTGGTGAATAATGATGCCTTCGGTTTGAATCGGAAAAAAAAAAAACGATTCTGGTAAGAAATGTTAATGATATATAATTAGAAATTGCCTGCTCAGCTCTACATGATATGGGAGTGGACACTACTTATTATAACTTTAATTACCAATTAATATCCTAACAACAATTCTACCCTTCATAATTTTCTGATGAAAAGATGCATTTGATAGTGAGTAGACTAAACATAAGGACCCTAAAGGCTTTGTTAGAGGTTAAACGCTTGACTAAGATCCAACAGATCCTGAATTTAAATCACAATGCCACCCATCCATATGAATTTTGGAGTCCCACACCAATTACCCGGTGGGTGCAGCTTTATACAATGCACGTGAATGGATCAATTTGCATGTATCTACAGAGATTAATCAACCCGTAAGATCTGAATATCCCATATTATAAATGAGATGTTTGTATCCATGACGTTAACAAAGCATGCATATATCTCAAACAGTTGTAATGATATGATGCAAGATGGTAACAAGATTCAAATATACTAAATGCCTATAAAAGTGCTTGATTAGTATCATCTCAACGAATGTAGTAATAATATATTGGGCAGTTTCTTTGAGGAAATGCATTGTCTCCTATCATATCAAGATGCTTCATGAAGAATGTTCTTCAGCATTCATTCTCGTTCCACTTGGGAAGTCAACTAAAAGTGTGAACTCATCATCTAGACATCTTTCAAATAGTGTTTTTTCTTTAGAGTATTGTTTTAGAATCCATCTTAGCGTGACCTTATAAGATACTATGTATGCTTTATATGCTATTTTCCTTGAACAACAATACCAAACCACCCAATAAAATGCGTAAGGTAGCCAACGACTATAGGCTGCTACATGAAAATTGAAGCTTTTATTTGATACTTTTCTCAAAACAAAAAATCAAAATTGACAGACGAATGCTTGCCGGAGGCGCTTGTGGACGCTTCCGGTTGAAAATGTCGAACAATCTAGTTAACAATTTAGCAAAAAAGTACAGTTGACAGATGTGGAATCCGGCAATCGCAATAGACAATTCAGAAGAAACGTATATATCGACACCACCGGCAGCTCAGAGCCCGACCCTTGTTCTCCAATATTCGACAACAACTGCTCCAATAGCGATCTTCACTCGAGTTTGAGAATAACTTCGCGATCGCATATTGCAAGCAAGAGATCCAACAAGGATTCTTTGCAATTGCTGTGGATGGAAGTCACCGGGGAAAGAGGTGTCAAAACATCAGGAAAATCATCCTCATCTTTTCTCATAGCTGTTGATGATGTCTTGCAATTGATGAGCAATGTTACAGACATTGATGTTCTTCTTGCAGGGTGAAAATTTCATGGGTTCAAGTCCCCGAGCTGTCGGCTGATGCTCCGGGACATTTGGCAGATCTCTGGTGTTTCTTTTGAACTCCGTCTCACCAAATGCATCATACGCTTTCCAGCACCTTCAAGCAAATGGAGGCAGACACTTCACTTTGTATTTCCCGCCAGATGATCCATTTTGTTTGCCCTCACAATCTGGAATTAGCTGATCTGCAGAAACAAAGGGAACAGAATGTTCGAGTCTTGTGTGAATTCCGCACCCTCAGACTCTCTGCACCAGCGCTCTCCACTTCAATCAGACAAATTCACATAGCAACAAAATGCCTGCAGAGACAAAGGCAGCAGAAAGATCAAGTTCTTTTATGATATCTGAACACTGGAACTCATAGGGCACCAGCACTCTCCATTTAGTCAGACGTATGCAGATCGCACACATTACATACATATCTCTGAAAATAATGAAAGCATACCATAACGACAAATGCACAAAGCAAATGAAGCAACGCATGAATGCACAGACCTATCAAGCAAAGTAAACTCCAGCAGTACATGCACGGTTGATCTGACTTTGGCTAGAAGTTGCTTTGAGGGAGTACAGGAGGACAGAAAATTGAGAAGGATGCATGAGCATGAGCATGGGCATACAGTTTGTATACAACGGAAGATGCATGAACATTGCAGTTACAATGAATCAAGCTGAGCAAGTATGAGCAGAATTAAGCACAACAGATACCTACTTCAAATCATTCTGATTGAAAATACTGCTAGCATTTCCATACCAAAAAGAGTACCTTGAAATAGTCACTTCAGAGAGTAAGAACAAAAGGTGGGGCATCTCTCCTTGGTCCAGCAACAGTGCGGTAAACATAAACTTTATATTGCTGACCATCACTGCTCTCCTCATCCTTCATTACTTCAACATTCAATCTAGGCCTCTCCCTAGCCAGTACCTCACACCCATTCATTGTCACTTTGCAGGCCGACATCCACAAAGACCTCATAGACTCATACTTCTCCAATCCCGAGAGAAGAGCTGCATTACCAAATGGACAATCCCTGATTTCAAGTTTTCTCAACTTTGGACAACCCCCCAGTACACACTGCATCGCCCAGTCGCTACTTCCAGCAAAAGCTACAGAAAGCGTTTCCAGATTCTTAGCATATCTACCGATATACTCAAATGTCAGGTCAGTTAGGAGACCTGAAACAGCGAGCCTCTGGAGTTTAGTACAAGTCTTCACAACTGCACCAAAAGCCTCGTCCATAGGTTCATTTGTTACATAATCAGGTTGCCCTGGGTTCATTATGCAAAGACGAAAGTGGGTAAAATCAGGGCAGTTCTGTACAATTGTGGCTACAGCTGCATTTGTCATCTGACGGCAGAAGTAGAGTACATAGTGGAGTCTCCGGCATCCATAAGACACGGCAAGAAACCCCGATTCGGAAACACCATGATTAACTTCCTCGTCGAAAGGGTTGGCTGGGAAGACCCGAAGCTCCTCTAGCCATGGACAATTCAGTGCAACAGCTTCCAGCCCGTCGTCTCCCACAGTGTCAAGTACCTGCAGTGGGCCACTTGATTAGTATATAAGTTCCAAAAAATAGTACTCCAAGAAGATTAAAGCTCAGAAGGTTCTCCCCTGCTACTGACGATGATATAGCTCCAATTACTACTGAAAAATTAACGTCACAACTTGTGATGCTACAGATGCATTCACACATTTGCCAATAAGCTGTATTTAGCTTTAGGAAAAGAACCTGTAGTTTGCTGACAAAATGCAGGACTATTCTAGCTGAAAATTAATGAGTATACATAAAACCCAGAAGAAGTCATCATTTGTCTTCTCACTCAAGCAAATAGCAAAACATGATATCACGCAAATGAAATCAAAGTGAATGCTTGATCATAAAGACAATCTTTCCCTTCATTTGGAATTCTGTCAATCAAAATTGAAGCAAACGCACTTCATTCCATGCAGTTCAAATTAGGACAAAATCCATTGCAGTCACCATACACCGACTTTAACTGCCTTTTGCATAACAAATCCATGTAAAAGAGAGAATGATCAGAGAAATAAATCGAGCAAGTTTCTGCTTCTGGCTAAAGAATAGACCAACCAAAGAGTCAGTTTATCAAACAATGTTGGCTCCACGACCAACACCATTGCGCACCTCTTTTTTAGTAGAGAGTTCTATTTCTATACACCAAGACAGACTTGCAAATGAGAGCAAGCCTCCAGTAACGTCTATATCAAAGATTTTCTTCAAAGTAAAGCAGAACAGAAGAGATTGTATTTTAACTCTAGCACAAGCTGTAGAGCTTATTTTCAAAGATTTAAATGAAAGTGGAAACCATACCCAGAGGCGCTGAAGACACGGACAGTGAAGAAGAAGCTTGGCAAGTTCTTCATGTTGCAAAGCAGCATCGTTTAAATTCAGGAAAGTCAAATTTGCACAAGCCGGGTATAGAACTGGGAGATACAATGCCATAGCTTCACATAAGCCCGAGAGCGTGTGTAGATTCTTGCAACCACCAAAAGCCCGTTCAAGCTCTGAGTACTGGTGAGCATTAAGCTCTTGCAAAAACGAGCCAGTACCAAGCTCGGTTAACCGAGGAGCACGTACAAGCAGCCTCTGCAATTGATCTAGTGTGATAGTTCTATTAACCTTAAGAACCTTCAGTGAATTGCACCGACTTACAAGCCGCTCAAGAGCATCAAACTCGACATCACTACTTAGGCTTGCAAAGTTCAGCACTTCCAAAGATGTGAAGTTTTCAGGGAAGCAACTCAACCAGTCACCGCTAATATCATCAATGCCATTCTCCTGTATATCCAGCTCAGTCAAATTCCTGCTCACCAAAAACAAATGGAAAATCAGAAGAAATTGGATGAAGACATGACAAATAATCCACTCGAAATTTAACAATTGGATTCTATTCAACTTTCAGAACAATTGGTTATATACAGAAATTTCAAATACAGTACTGGCTTCCGTTAAGCAAGCATGGACCACTAACTGAGTTACCATATAATGTACTACAGATAGACTGCTAAAAAATCATCATGAATCACAGATTGCACCAAAACAGATTCAACCAGTCAGCATTTGGCAATAGGAGCGTGCCTTAATGCATACTACGTAATAATTTTTTGCATGGCAAAATGGCGAAGGACCTCCAATAAAAAGATTATATCCCCTATATACATCTTGACGTTGAAAACCAACAGCAGTAAGACAGCAACTTTACGTGTCTTGGAACCAGTGACCATTTCCCAAGGTGGTGAATTCTTGTAGTTGCAGCTTATTCTTTGGCTTTCAGTCGAGGTCATCTTTTAAAATCGAATGGCCACACACTAATCTCCCAAAATTTGTGTACCCATCAACCATCCAGTATCACACAAGTTAAATGTGAGAAGGGCTACTCGTGCCTAATTTGCCGCTTTATCTTTTACTCTTTCTGGTAATAAAGCTCAAATCATCAAGATTCACAACAAGATCAAACGGTGACCTCTTTTGGGTCAACAATTTGTTTACTTGTTATTACCACATCAAAGGTCGATCCAGTCTTTAAATGATTCAAGAAAGATCCGAAACTTATTGTCCTTGATCTCTGTAGCAGTTAAGTATTCGTACACTAACCAGTCTGTATCTTGTATATTTGTAATGTATTGAGACAGCTTCTCTCAGTAATTTTCTTAAATTGCCCAGAGGAATTCAATAGGTCCATCCCGGAGTTCCTACAAATTAATACCGTCATAAAGGGGGTAATAAAGACATTTGGGGGTAAAGGACAATCGCATGGTGAGACAGAAAGCAAAGTCCTTCCAAATTCACGGCATTATTTTTCCCTTCTAAAAATGTGAATTCTGAAGAATAACAATATGCTCTAGAAGTCATGTTGATTTCCCCAATAGCCACACAGTAGCCTCACCCCAACCCACAAGGGTTGGGATCCATCCCAATCCCACCCTTGTGATGCATTACCAGGCACCACTGTGCCAATACCAATCACAAATGAAGACATGATCAGCTTGAGTCATTTTTTTTAAGTTCGGGAAATAGAAGAAATGGGGAGAATGAAGATCTAAGTGAAAAATTTCGAAATTCTGGTATGAAGATTCTTGTGAGGAGGGAGAGGGGGAGATTTATAATATTGGCATTCTCTTTCCATTTGCCTCCCTCACGATGCTCCCAAACAGAGCATTTGTTGTTGACACGAAGATCAAACTCTAACTCTGCTTATACAGAAATATACCTTCCCAGGGACAAAAGGATCTGGTTAAAGTTGATCTACAAGAGACCACGGTGCAAAGATCTCTAAAGTAATTGGTCTTGCGTGACCAATAGCAAAAGTTTTTCCCCATGAATCCACATCTCCTTAAGATGACCTCAGTTGATAGGCCACCCATTAAATGCTAAACTGACAGGTCAAACGTCATGTCAGAGAAGGAAATTGGGAAAAAGACAGAAGCACTTAACGTGAACTTCACCAAATTTCACTCACCACAACAGGAGTACAAACCGCCCTCCCCAAATCCCATCCAGACAAAGAGCATAGCGAATCAATCTCTGATTCAAACTACACATTCAACCCAATGGAAAACAAGAAAAAGAAGAATGACCGCACTACACTTGCTGTCTCCAAACTTTCCAATTCACTTCGTTGCTCCAACAAGTGGCACCTTAATTGGATTTCCCGAACCAGAAGTGGATATACCAATCACTAGGTCCAGTCCACAGCAAGATATTCATTCAAGCTGAGGATAAGGATTTCCTCGCGACAAATCCAATCGCATTAGGTCGAGACAGAATCAAATCCGACACGAGGCAATGCGACTATCTATTGCAGTTCAGCGATCGCTCTAGCTCTTACCAACCACAAGTCCAGCTAATTTGAACAAAATATAATCCAAACTATACCGAAGAGCAAACAATACAAGCGAAACAGATATGATAAGCGTGTGACCCCACCTGCAGCGAGTCGCGATGGCCGCAAGACCATTGGTACTGAACCCATCACAGCTCAACAGCGAGAGAGCCCTGAAGTTTTGAAATTTCAGAGCTAGAAACTTCAAGCTCTCGTCCGTCACGGTCATCCTCTTGAGCCTCAGCTCCTCGAGGAACGGGTACCGATCCGCGAACACGGCGAGCCAGGACCGGATGTCGGCCCCCCAGTTCTGCGGCACCAGGTTGAAGTCGGAGAACCTGGGCTTCCCCTTGAGCGTGACGCTGCGGATGTTCGGGAACCGGCGGGCCACGATCTCGGGCGTCACGGAGTAGCAGTTCCCGATGAAGACCCGCCTCCTGGACCACCGCTCGGCGTGGTACCAGGCCTTGGACACGAGGGACACGGCGCTCCTGTCCTTGTGCGAGGCCAGGAGCGAGAGCACCCGCTCCAGCACCTCGTCCGGGAACTGCGCCGCCCCACGGGCCGACTCCGACTCCGCCGAGTCCCGCGGCTTCTTCGGATCCATCCCAATTCCTCAGACCAGCAGAGCGTCACCGGACAAACCCCCCCGCCCACACACAGAGAAAAACGGACCCCTCACGCGCCCTCAAGACTCGATCTGTAAAGACTCGTTTTTGACGCCAGCCACGGATCTAGGAGACGAAACGGAACGTACCCAGCTCGCCAAAACCGAAGACCTCGCAGCCGCCGCCCACCCCCACACACCTCTCTCTCCCTCTCTTCTCTTCTCTTCTCTTCCTCGGGGGTCAAAGGAGCGACCTTTCGGAGCGCACGAAGAGCCAAAAGGGCGAGGGAGGGAGGGTAGGCAACGCGCCTTATAGGGTGAGAGAGAGAGAGAGAGAGAGAGAGCGAGCGCGAATAATGAATGGCGGAATGATGTGGAGGAGGAAGGAGATGGAAGAGGGCATAAAAAAGAAGGAACAGTGGCGGGTGGGGAAAATTCCGGATCTATAATTGCGATCCCTGTTCGAGCTCCGCGCAGAGCTGTAGCTGACGCAGAAATGGCATTTTGCACAAACAAGAGAGAGAGAGAGAGAGAGAGAGAGGAATCGCAAGCCCACCGTACCTAACCTCCGCTCATGTGCGTTCGGGGGCCGCCCGGCCAGTCACGTGCCGCCACGTGGACCGCTGGCCCCCCACTCCATCCCTCCTTCCTTGCAATCCCGCGGGGAGCCGCGACGGTGGGGGCCCGGTCCGGTGGCCTGCCCTCGGGCAGCGTGTCCGGGGCGATGGCGCCACCTGCCGGGCGAAGGGCGCATCCGGACCGTCCGGTACAGCCCGGGTCCCGCTGACGTGGCGCGCCGGCGGGTGGGGTGGGGTGGGTGGGGGCGCCGTCCGATCCGTGTCCGCGAGATCGGGGTGACGGTTGAGATCGGTTTCTTTTCCATATAAGCAAAACATACATTTACATTTGTTTTATTTTTTTCATTTTGGGCCAACCAGATGAGTTAAAAAGGGGATAGGCGGTGCTGCTCCCACAGGTACCCCACCTTATAAAGAGAATTATTCCGGGCCAACCATTTTCCGAGATCCAGACGCGTCATTCGAGCGCCCGTGTCGCTTGTCGACGGGATTTATATGTGCAAAAATGAGCAAATATGTTCTTGGTTTATAATTTGTTTTTCTCTAATTTGGAGATCCGGCTATCTGGAGACTTACTGAACATCTCGATCCTGCAAACCGGTTGAGTCGGAACCCTTCGCGCGCACGGGTTGTCCCGATTCGGGAGGCGGGTTGCATGCAGTCGTCGGGATTTGACCGAGGTTGGCCTCTGATTCCCGAGCCGGAAATTTTCCCGATGCTCCGACCGGGAATGTCAACTTTTGGGGGTCGATGTGTTCTTATTAAGCGTGCTCTTTTTTGTAACTGAATATATTCCCATCTGTTTTGTGCCGGACTGTACATTCTTTCTATTCTTTCCCCATTTTGATGTTACCCCCAGCTGCGGGACCTAGTATGATTTGGTGATGTAGATAAGAATGAAGGTCATCTAAAATCGATTATGGAAAAAAATGATTACGTGCATTCAGCGTGAGCCGTTCAATAGTTGTGAATTATAAGCTTAAAACGAACGATTTGAAAAATACTTTTCTAAAAATAATCGCTTGTATCGCCTAAAATAATTAGTCAATGGAAATATTTTCATTATCGGCAATAATTGAAATGTAAATATTTTCGTTAATTCATTTTTATAAGCTATCGGTTTTAGGAAAATATTTTTCAAATTATCCATTTTTCGCGAAAAAAATGGAGCCTTAATTCTGATGGGTAAATCACACATAACAACGTATTAACTATATTCACGAGTCATATTTGGGAAAAGAGAAAATTATAAAAACTTGTTTAACGGAAGAGAAAAGTAAATGTGAGACATTAAAAAAAATGCCCAGTCGACATTTTATGCCAGTCGATTAGATGGAGATAATAGGAGTTCTTGATTGCACCGATTTGACGAGTTTTAAAATTTGATTACACTTTTTAAAAATTTTATAACTCGATCGCACTTCGTGTCCATTTCGTTCTTTGCATGCTTTAGGGTTTCAGCTGATTTATGGAAGATGAACCTCGTTTTCAGTGGACTAATTTTCAAAGAGAATGATTTCATTTTCCTACGTTTGGTTGTGTTTCGCAAATAACGCGAACTTTTTTTTCGAGGGACCTGAGCTCAACCACCGGGACTAGGTAACGTCCGCGCAAGGTCCCCGGCACGACCGTAAGGGACTCGAGCATGGGCGCAAGAGCCGAGTACTCGAGCCCAAACACCGAGTCTCTTGCCGCCGTGCTCGGGACGCGGGAGCCTTGTACCCTGGCCTAGATGCCGGGGACCCGGGCGCAGGCACCAGGATCCTAGGCCAGATTATCGAGGATGGGGGCTCGGCCTTAAGGGAGGAAGCCGGCCTAGCCTCTGGGGACCAGAGACGTATTGTCGCATTCTATTTCCAAAATTTCATCACGGGCACTATGTTGAATATGAAGGGAGTTTCCATCGACTTATTTTGCTAAGCGATCCAAACGTCCAAAAAACGAAAAGAAAAATATCTTTTGAACCGTTTTTTTTTTATTTTTCCCGTGAAACACGTGAAGTAGAAGCAAGCTGGCAAATGCCCGCGATCCACGTGCAACTTCACGTGATGGCCTCCCGACATGGGATCATCTCGTTAGATTAAGATTAAAGACTAATGCTAGCCAGTCTTACGCATTTAATTTTCCTCGATCTCTATAGTTAAATATAATAATCAAATCATACAGATTTTCCGATCAAATAAAAAAAAAATCATTAAGATTCGCTTTGGAACGCCCGCAAATAACGCACGCACCCCCCCAAAAAAATAAAATATTCGACCAAATAAATAATGAATAAATAAATAATAAAACAAATAATAAAAAAACAAAAGGAAGGATCAATACGGCAAGCTTCGCGCTTGGAACAACTGGCCAATCCATATCTTTAGAAGGCCCAAAAAGGAAAAAAAAGAAAAAAGCTAAACCATCTTCACTCCTAATTTCTCTTTAAATTTTTTTACGAATCCTTAAAAATCACAATTATCAATTTCATAAAAGATTAAAAAAGAAATACCAAAACCATAGATCAGGGAAAAATTGCGATCAATCGACTCCTTTTATTTAAAATAAAACTCGGGAAAAAAGAGCGAACCGAAACGCACTCACCGCGATGTCTATATTAAGGGCAAGCATGGTCCGGATGGGCCGTTCCCGCCATGGAACCGAGAACCGCCCGTTGGTTCCATAAATCCACCTGAGAATCAGACCACAAGTCCGGTCCGGTTTCCAGTTGGGTCCATAGAACAGATCCCATCAAGCTTCACACAAATGGAAGTGATTTGCCAGAGGCGCGGCCGTGAATTGATGGGAGTTGTGAGTAGATGGGCAATGAGCTCAAGAGCCGAGATCATAAATAAAAAATAGAGAGACGACTCAAACAAAGTGAGAGTGAGACGAGATGAACACTTAATCGATGTACGTTGAGCTTTAGATTAAGGATTTTAGGATTTTCATTTTTCTTAAAATGTTTTCTTTTTTATGGTTGGAATTTTTTTTAAAAATTACATATATATATTACCGATCCGGTCCGAGTGAGCAAGTAAGCGATTCTACGCCTAGAATCGGGAACCGAACCAGTTTTCATGGGAATCGCCGGTTCCAGGCGGCTCCCGATTTCTTTACACACCCCTAATCTATATCGCCTACCGAGTTCACGCGCAATGTCTCGTAGCGGACCGTGTCCCATTTTCGAAAAAGAAATTTTTTTAAAAAAAAAAGTGAAAAAATCGGCAATTAAAAAAATAATTCCTAACAATGTCAAATCGTTAACAAACCCCAATCTAATTGGTGCGGCCCTCTAATCATGCCCAATGGTGGGTGACGTACGCCACCCTTTCCCAACACCCCCAAAAAGAAGGTCCAATTTTTAAATCTTTTTTTTTATTGACCTATCAAAATGCATATTCAGCGAGCCCCATGCTCCAATAATAATAATTATTATTATTATTTATTTATTATATATTATAATGTTTTGTACGAATATTATTATATATTTGCCAATTATTTACGATTATCTCCATGGTGTGTGCATGTGGGGGTTCTTAACTACGACAGGACGAAGGTGCCACGTCGATTTCGGAATAAATTATTGGGACAACCCGACATGGACAATAAGTGTGGGGGCGATACCTTAAAAAATCTCAAATCGGTAGGTAATCTAATATTGCGGTGCGTCGTCAAAAATTTACCTTCAATTATTTTCTGTCCAATATACCCGCCAAATTGAGGAAACATGCATGGCAAGCAACTCGTCTTATGTGAATCCCGATGAACTTAAATGTGGTTCATAGAAAATCTGTTCCGGGTAAATGTATCGCGGGTGTATCGGCTTGAGATTCTTGGTAGAACGTGTCGCGGATTTGCTGATTTGGGAATTTTTCAAGTTGCGAAAATCAATTTTAGGTGAATCTGTCACGGGTGCACCGGTTATTTATCCCTATCAGTGCGAAAGAGAAAAGTAAAACATGGACAATGAATGAGGGATAATACCATTAAAAAAAAAAATCTCAAATCGATACATCCGTGCTCGAGCGACCTGTCTAACGTGACAAAACTGCCCTCCATCATCTTCCGTCGAATATCCCCGCCAAATTGCTTATGCCTGGCAAGCAACTTGTCCGGTGGGAATCCAATGAAGCAAAAATCCAGCATAAAATGGCTCATAGAAAATCTGTTCCGGGTAAATGTGTCACGGGAGCACAAAACTCTTTCGCGCCGGGCGTGCCCGACCCGATTGATTACGAAGTAACCGGGCATCGCGAATAACCCCTTCGAGGGAAATACGTTGCGCGACGCGATCGATTGGATGGACGGTCACGCGATGCCTCGATAGACCTACACAGACGCGCGCGCACAAATGAGTGCGCCGTACCCGTGAAAAAAAATTCATGTGAACGAGGGAGGTGGTGGGAGCGCAAATTTCGGGTAAATGTGGGGGCCAAATTCGAATTATTTGTGGTGTGCGGGGGGTGCGATTCAACGGTGCCACACAAAAAGGTTAGGTGACGACACGGAACACGTGCCCACTCCTTGTCCGTTCCGCCAATGGGGAACGATGTGGCCTTTTTCTCTCTCTCTCTTTCTTTTTGTCTTTTTTTTTTTATTTCCCTTTTTCTTTCCTTTTATTTTTCTTTATTGATTTTTTCTTTTGGTCAGATTTTTTTTATTGATTTCTTTTGGTTTTTTTAATTGAATCTCGGGCCTCTTCTCTCTCTCTCTCTCTCTCTCTCTCTCTCTCTCTCCCCTTTTCATTTGCTGGACTTCCATGGCAGTTCCATTAATTGGGTGGTGGGTCCAGCCCCCCCTTTCTTTGGTTTCTGACCCTAATGCTTGTTTAACATCGCCATCATCGTGTTTGAAATTAAATAGATAGAATATTACTTTTCTGTTTAAATAAAATAGTGGGGCGATTTTGGAAAAGCAGAAATTTACAAAATTCGGGTTCTTTTTTGGAAGGCTCCTTTTATTTTGGCTTAATTATTTTATCCACATTTTTTTGGAGCGCTTTTTGTCCTCTTTTATTTTCTCCATTTTACGGGGCGTTTTGGAATTTGACACTTGCTCGATGTTTAAGTAGTACCCAAGATGGTTTAAAATGTATGTACTGAAATTGGGGAATTTGACACTTGTTCATGGAAAGGGAAAGTTAATTGATAAAAGATAGAACTAATAAACCCATATCATGGACTTCTCTTTGCTAGAAAATCATTGCAGATGAACAATTATCTAAGTTCTTTGTTGTCGGTCATTAAAATTTTCACCCTCTATGTGTTTACGTAGGTTAATTTCCCCAATTTCATGCTTGAAAAAATTTAACAATTTCCATGGTGAAGGAAGATCGGCCTGATCTGATCTTGGCGCGCATTAGCTCTTGAGCTCGTGTAAGTAGACGAGATTATCGGCTCGGCAAACAACAAAGTTTTCATTATTATTACGTACCCGAGAATTGGATATACTCGAGACCATCTTTTTGTACCGGTACAAAAAAGAAGTAGAAAAATCATTAAATAATGAAACCGCGATTGGTATGATGCATCGAAAACACGTTGTGAATCATTTAAATTAGGGTTGTGCAACCGGATTAGATCGCCCTGAAAACCCGTTGGGTTCTTGGTTCCAAATTTTTAGAACCGACGGGAATCATTCCGGTTCTTGGTTTCGAGTGAAGAACCAATCGGGAATCGAACCGATCGAAACGAATTCGAAATCGATTCCATAAAGCCTAAAAACTCTAGTTTTTCTCTTGGCATCTTTTTCCCCATCTTTCACTATTTTTTTCTTTCTATTTTCTCTATCCTCGCTCAGACACTTCACGACTCTCTCCCGCTTTCCCTCGCGACTCACCCTCCTCCTTGCTCTCTCGCTCGCTCGAGTTTCACAACCCTCGCTCGTTCCAAACTCGCCTTTGCTCGATCCCCCTTCGTTCATCTTTTACTTCGAACAGTTTCGTTAAAAATGAAACAAAAAAAAAAAGGAACAAAGGAAGAACAAATTCCCTAGTAGATCCGGGAATTGGTTTCAGAACAAACAGACAGGTTCCAGATTTCCAAAATCGAGAACCGATTCTAACATGGGAGGTTCCGCGTTTCAAGTTCGGAACCTTACCCCACCCCGAAACCGATCGGGCCACGATTTGAGCAACCCCTTTTTTCACGAAAATGCGAGAAAGTGTGGAGGTCATCATGATCTCGAACGAGAGCTCTTTTTGACGAGCCCCTTTTCAGTGTTCTCCCCAGTGTTTGTCCCAAACAAGATAAGGCGCCCATCGTGGCAATGACCAGAATTTCCGCATCCCCTTCGTGATGCCCGAGCGTGGGCCCCACCACCACCACCACCGAGAACCTTATCCAATCGACGTCGCCCTGTCGAGTGTCGACTGCTGCTGCTTGCTCCCTCCTCCTCCTCCTATCCTCCCTCCGGCCCATGAGCCCCGGGGCATTCTCCGGACTCCACGTGTCGCCGACCCAGTGCGTCGCAAGAATGCCAAAGAACCCTAGGCATGATCCTATGGAGACATCTTTGCCTAATGGGCGGGAAGGGGGCGACATCTCGTTGACCCCCTTGTCCCCGTGCATTATCGAATGTTGGGGGGGGGCGGTTACAGGACCCTCTGTCGCCACCCGGGCCGGGGTCCGGCGTTGCCTCGCCCCGGACAGCAACAGCACGAGCCGGCTCGGAGACCTGCCGCGACATGCTCGAACTCGTGGTCTCGTGAAAGTCAATTTGAACGCGCAATCCCCGAGTCAACGATGCTCGGGGATTGCTGATGAGGTCTCACGGTTACCACGACATCCCTCGCATTATATGGCCTCGTATCGCAACCGTGAGACCTTTCCCTACATGTGTAGTTCATTCTTTTTTCAGTATCATTTGAACTGATGGAATCTAACAATCCGTTGAGATGTCTCGCGGAATGTTTCTCTTCACATGCTCGTTCTTGCCGACACCCAAAAACACAAAGGAAAAAGAACAAGAAAGAGCCCACTAAAAGCCCAGTCATTGAGGTAGTTTGCTTGGCCCAGCCCAGCAAACTACCTCTGTTCGATCTTTTATCTATAATGCCTCGGTTGTGCGATTGTCCAGATTATGTTAGCCCGCTCCATCTTAGCTATCGGCTGAAACCGAGTGGGCTCACATGTATTTGGGGTTAATTCCAAAGAAAAGCACCAATTTTAGGTCGAGGGATAATTTACTACCGAACTTTTTTTTGTCCCGTAAAAATACCAACTTTAGGTCGAAGGACAATTTTGATCCGAACTTTTTTGTCCCCAAAAAGCACTAACTTTAGGTCCAGTGACAATTTTGGCCTCAACTTTTTTTTGTCCCGTAAAAAAGCACAAACTTTCACTTAAATCTCAAATCTGGCCCCTATTGACTTAGAACCATTGATTATCTAACTTAACTATTCCACCTTAGCAATAAATCAACGTGAATTGTTGACTGGATTTAAAGCAATATTTATTGTCTTATTCTCTGAGCCACAATTTGAAGTATAATGGTGAAACTGTTCGTCTCCTTCACTTCACCGGCAAGTCAAATATATCTCCAGATTGAATCTCTCTGGCCAAACGTAATTTGAAGCTGACCACCGCCTGTCGACAGACGCCATGGACGAGATTCGCCAAGCTCACCACCATAACCTTTTTTCTCAAACAATGGTGACTTTAGACAAAAAGTCAACAGGGGGCCAGATTTGGGATCAGGGTGAAAGTTGGTGATTTTTTATGAGACAAAAAAAAATTGGGAACAGAATTGTCACTTGACCTAAAGTTGGTGCTTTTTTACGGGACAAAAAAAAGTTCGGGCCAGAATTGTCCCTCGACCTAAAGATGGTACTTTTTTTTGGAATTAGGCCCATGTATTTGTGCATGTAAGAATTTCTCCTGCTCCGAGAACTCCTAACGGGGCTCGAAACACAAATGCCGTGATGACGAGAGAGGTCTAGGCACCACGCGAATCCGACCGGCGCCGAATGGTGACGATTTTGTGAGTGTCGCGACACGGGCTCACCCGGGATAGAGTCTCGTCCATTCGACCTGGAATGTACTATTGCGTCCGATCTTGAGTCAACCTAAATAATTTCCTATCTGAGCGCGGGACTGCTATCCACTAGAACTAATTTGAACAGCATCACCTCAATTATGATTTGAACAAAGACAAACACTACGTTGTGTCATCTCGATTTATATGTGTTTTCCAAACGATATAAACCGACTTATACTTGCTGTTTACCTTTAATTGGCTCCAATTGAATTAAAATGCTAATCATCTTACTTTCTGTTGTTGAAAAGTGGATTTTTCCTCGCCGGAGAAACTTCAATCTCAATCATGTTCTCTTCCTCCCCATCCAAATCCAAGGCAATCTCTATAAGCCCTTCCGCATCCTCCAGGCTGTCCCACCGGAACTGCCACCTGTCCGGCGATCCCAGGTCGCCACCAGTTGTCGTAAACTTGCCCTCCAACGAAGCCTCTGAATCTGTATCCTCCACGTACGGTGTCGGACCTCCATACACATTAGGGCCGCCACCACCATCGTTGTCTTCTTGGCCTTCATATCCTTCGTGTATGACTCCTAGAGGCGCTTTCACGTCCCACCCGGCAAAAGAAACCTCGGAACACCGGTCCGGAGAAGAGCCCATTTCCGACCCTCGTCCCATTACAGATCTTGAACCGACCCGTTTGAACTGCTCGGCCTCTGGAGCTGCTCCTATACGTATTAGGAGGGCGAGTGCCATAACTACTGCACCTACGTTCAGAGAGGGCGAGAGGACGACGTTCAAGAAAACGCGAGGGAAGTAGATGAGGAGGAGAGCGCAGAGCGTGAGCGCGATCGGGAACAGAGGGTGCTCCGAGGAGAGAGATGACGATCGCGCGGTCCACGTTTCGACGTGCAACTTCGTGATCCTGGCGACCAAGGAGGGCGCCATGGAGTTCGATTCTCGAGGGCTTCTGCTTCCTTCCATGGAAGACAAAATTTTCTTGGGAAAATGAGGTAGAATATGAGAAGGGTACGTATCCAAAGAGGACATGCATGGACGTCGGACAGCTGAAAGCATTAGCAGAGACTTTCGTAGAGAAAGACTTAGCAATATAACCTTTTGGTTTTGAGAATATATATCGGAGTTTCGAGGTCCCCTCACACCTCCATTTCACTCATTTATGAATTCCCTTCTCCGTATTGCATGGATTTCAACAAGCCATCGCCTTCGGACCACATATATCGAGATTCACTTTTAATATTATCATCGAATTGGCCTACACACAAGGAACAATATTGATATATAGAAATTGCATTGTGCACCATAACTTAATTATTTAAACTTTCAGGACATTCCACGTTGCATGTCTGAGGTTGTAGTGACTCCTAGGGCAAAACATTCAATTATGATAATAATTGAAGCTCCACCCTACTTGTCTATAGAAGGGCTCAACAAGAAACAAATGCATAAAAGCAAAATTCAACATAGAAGGTGTCTATGTCCTTTGTCCATCTGTACATCTTGACCCCCTTGTTGCTCCTCCTCCAGATCTTCTTTGCTTTTCGCGCTAAAACCATATTGATGACCAAAATGTATCCATCAATTTGAGTCTATCATTCCAATCTGATTACGACAAGTCATTTACATTGACATTGGATGTGACATCTGAGGGAAATTGCTCCTTCAAAGTGCAAATAATTTGATGTTTAGGTCATTCGGCCAGATTCTAATTCACATTTTACCGAGCTCGTGATATTGCTAGCGCCTTTCAAGAGCTATAATGAGATGGGTTTTCTCATCATAATATTTTAACACCCCAAATTGGGAGTGATCGATTTTTAGGTAGGTATGTGTTCAGACTGAAAGCCTGAAATCTATCCTTTTATAGTTGGTTCATAATTTTTGGAACTAAGAACCAAATTGATCAACTTTGAAACCAGCTTGGAACCAAATCGCGCGATTCCAAGGTTGACTCGGAAACCTGCCCTCATTTTTTTTGCTAAGACATGGAAGATCTACAACCTTGATGGTTTTCACATATCATGTTGACCTTACTGAAAAATGAGAAACGAGAAAGTGTTTAAGAGACTTAATTTAGGACTTGTTTCGAACCGGTCCGAAAACAGTTCATGATATAAAACCGGGAAACCGAACCGGTCAAAGACCGACTCCCTGAATTTTTTAATCTAGAAACCGAACCGACCCCCGCGTGAAACCGGTTCGAAACTGGCCGGATAAAACCGGTTCAGGTCAGATCTCGAGCTGAACCGGCTTGGTTGCTCAATCACCAACCTAAAATATCTCACGTCAGATCAAAATTTGAAGATGCTAGCGTACTTGGGAACTAGCTTTTCGTCATCAAACTTTTTGCTCAGCCAGTCAAGCTTCCAGATGATCAACAGAAGCACAAGCTCAACCAAACATCATGGATCAGCATCCTCCCCTCTCCTTGGTCCACATTCACAACAACTAAGATGATCCCAACAAATGTTCATCATTCCATAGGAATGCAAAATTGCTCCAAACTTCCAAATCTCTTGAAAATATAACGTGCAAAAAAAACACAAACCAAAGAGGTGATAATTGAGTTGCTTCCACAACACACTTTGATATTTACAATGTCCCACAAAGAAAATGCCCAAAGGATGTCTGCCCCTCAATTTCCTCCATTTTGCAGGGTCAAAGTCAGCACCCCCCCCCACAAATTTAGAGAAAAAAAAAAGTGAAAAAAATTGTCCCGATTGGCTTCCCCAGCACGGCATTGAGCGAGTCAAAGAGGTCTCCCCCCTCCCCTCCCCCACACACATTGGTCCAACGTAGGAAGCTTCTCATGCCAAAAGCCCGCCCAAAACCGGAAGGCCCGCCCCCGCCCGAGCTCGGGCCTTTGACGTGTCGGCCGCCAAGTTGGAACTGGCAAGCTGTGGGACACGATTGGGTCAACCAGAAACCACCTCCCCACGCCCGCCCACCAACTCGGTCCAACTTCCACCTCCCTTCCTCATCACTAACTTTTCCTCCAACGTTGGGGTCGGCGCAATTCGTAATCGATTCCGATCCTATCCCATCCACGTAGCAAGACACGAATTCGGGCACGATACCGTGTATAAACCCGACCCAGGTTCGTCCGTTCGAAGGCCCGGGAGATACGACGCGAGGGTCCGTTCGCAGTGCCCGCCTCTATCGACGACGAGCGACTCGCACGCGGTTCTAGACCACTGTTCCCGATTGCGTAATCCGGCGATACCGCATGTTTAATTCGGGTTTCCACGATGCTATTGATGTCGGGCATATTGATGTATAGTACTTTTATATATTTTCTTTTTTTTTTTGGCTTTTTGGCCAAAGCATAGTGCAAGTAAGGACATGAAAATGCCAAATTTCTCATAATTTCTTCTTTTTTTTTTCCTAATTAATTGAGGGACGAAGAGGGGGAGATTTTGGTGGGGGCAGTTTTTACTTGACCGAAGTTGGTCTCCGTGTGTACGAACGAACGACGACGCACTTCCCGACCGCAGCCACGCCCGCCACGTCACCCCCGGCGGTCGGCACGCCCACCAACGCCCCGATCCCATCTCCGACCGTCCGCGAAGCATCCGATGACGCACCAGAAAAATCCCCGCGTGTTCCGCAAGCTGACCGACCGACCGACCCCCCCCAGCGGGACTCGGACCGCCCACCCCGCCACGTCATCCCCCCCGGCCACCCCGATCCCGCCACGTGTCCCGTTCCCTCCAACGGCTAGTTCAATTTTAACCGCCAAAGCGATAGGAACCGGAAAAAAAAAAAAATTTTAAAATAAGAAAGAATTTAATATCCCTCACACGCGCGAGAATTCCAGTACTTTCGCGTGAAGTAATTAATGGAAAAAAAAATTTAATTCGAAAACCGCGTAAGATATTCTCTCTCTCTCTCTCTCTCTCTCTCGCCTCCTTTTTCAAAATTTCCTTTTTTTTTTTTTTACTTCCTCGCTTTTTAGTTAAAAAAGAGGGGAAAAAAGAAAGGAATTTAAATTAATTCATTTATCCGTGTTAACGGCTATATAAATATGAAGCGGACCCGTCAAATGGTTTCTTGACGCAAAGCGTGAAGGAGAAGCAGCGAAATCACTCACGAACACACACCCACGCACACGCACACGCACACGCACACGCTTCACTCGAATCGATCGAATCCGACCAGGTTCGTGTCTTTGGTTTCTGCAGAGAGGGGGAGGGAGTAGAAATGGCGCTGTGCGGCGATATGGGGTTGGACCTGAAGGGGTGCGGAGTTGGTGGTGGGCAGAGCGAGGCGAGGGATGGGGAGGAGGCATTGGGGTTCGGGCTCGTGAGGTGCACGCGGGGCCTCGGGAGGAAGAGGGTCGGGATCTCGGAGGGCCCCGACGACGCCGCCGCGGCGGCGGCGTGGCGGGCCGAGTCGGCGGAGTTCGGAGCTCCGTTGAAGAGGCAGTGCAGCGCGAGGCTGTTGCTGGACGGCTCCGACAAGTCCGGTCTCGAAGCCCTGCCTCAGGACATTCTGGTGAGTTGGCTCGCGCTTTCGATTTGCTCGAATGCTGCTTAAATCAATGCGCGGTTTGGATTATGATATGATAATTTATAATGGGTTTTAATGATTGAGCATTTTGGGTGGTTCAACAGATTAGGATACTCTGTCACGTCGAGCACGGCGATTTGAAGCAGCTGGTTCGCGTGTCCAAGACCATCAAAGAAGCTGTAAGTTCATCTGTAATGATAGTATTGCAATTTTTAATATGATCAATTTGTTTCTTGCGGGGCGGCGGTTGATCCGTTTCTTCTGTTACAGACTGTCGTGGCGAAGCAGTGGCATTTTGCGTACACGACGCCCACGAAGATCCGCGCGTTCAGGAGCTTGATCGATCCGCAGAACCCGAGTGACTGCGAGGAGATTGAAGCCCCGAACGCCCCGTTGAGGACTTTCAGGTCACGTATCAGCCGGAGGAAGCTCGCGGATGTCACGGCGGTGCTGTTCGCCTCGCCCGATGAAGGGCAGTGGACCCGGAGAGGAGGTCTGTTCATGGAAACTGAGATATGAACTAATAGGCTTTGTGCTCCGGATCCGGGTTCTGTAGAGTGTAGATAAATTTCTTGTTGTAGACTGGTTGACACGGACTAGGTGGGGAGAGAGAGAGAGAGAGACACGATGAATAGGGTTATGATGTACATGTAGAAAGAATCATTGAGCTGCGGTTTCTTCAAATGTTTCATTGAAGATGGATTGGCTTCAGAAGCTTATTTTTTTTGTGTGTACATTGTAAAGAGACAGATTTTTAGGTGATTTCCGAGTTGTTTGAAGGGCCATGGGCTATCCTGTGGCCCTTCCCATGCTGATAAAAACATGAGAGAGGAGTGCAGAGTTAATCCTGCATACTCTCCTTGTTCTGTGTAATAAACCTGAGAAATGATATATTTGCTTCTGTTGTTCTTGTTCTTATCTTGGCTTCATCTGTTCTTGTGTGTGTTCACTTTGAAATTTGTCGCCTCTGACTTGCCCCACCACCATCTCTTTTGTATGCTTTTGACAATTTTAACTTTGAATCTTTGAGGATTTGCATTGATATCTCCAAGGTCTTGGAAAGGTATAGGGTTTTTAGGGCTGCTACCTTAGAGATGATTCCTGAATGGTTCCCTTTTTGAGTGCTTTTTTAGATCACAACATGATCAAACATATGATGGATCAATAAACGTTGTCAAAAGTTCTTTTCCGAAAGCAAACGATTCCGTTTCAATATTCGATAACTTTGTCGTCAGCTGGAAAACAGTCGTGTGCTGTTTTGAGATTACCTAAATTCGCCAATCTCATCCTATAAAATGGAGAGCATTACACCTCTTGGGTATGAATTTAAGAAGATTGATGTTATTCATGACAATTATTTACAGGAACAACCTGATAAAAAACGCATCTTGTAATTGCAGATTGTAAAAGACTATGCAACGACATTTGAAATTATTAAGCGGGTAGGCAAAGTCCAATTTATTGCCACAAGAAAATGAGAAAAAAAAGGGTGGGTGATTCAGATGTTGTTGCTTCCATTCTCCTGCTTGATTGCCAGACTCTTCTTAAAGACGAATAAGTGCTTAAATCACAGACTCAGATGCTCTATAAAACTTGTAACTAATAAGTCTGCCTCCCTGAACACACAACCTGCATCATACCTGCCAAATTTTCTGATGCGCCGGACGGGTTGTCTTGTCTTTGCAGTCATTAGAAAACGTAACTCTGGCTCTTGGAGAAGTCTGCCACAAAAGGAAATTTTCATTCCTCTCGATATTATCCGAGTAAGATTTCGGATAAAGGCGATTCCTCGCACTAACCAGAGCAAGACTCTCCAAATTGATCGCCTTCTGCAGAAAAAACTTGACCAGTTCGTGTTCATGACTTTGAAACCTGAAGCCTTTCACTTTGACAAACTTGAGGCGGCAGAGGAAGCCAAAGGACTCTAGCTCTTGCTTCTGATGCAGTTCCCAGTAAATGCTGCCTTCGAAAGAGCATTCATTAAGCTGCAAAGATTAAAGCAAAGCCTTAGGCATTGAAAACAAAATCTCCAGTAGTCTTCTTGAATTGAGTAGCTTAGCTACATTTCCATAAAAGATAATATAACTTAATGAGCTTACATCGATAAATACTTTCTCGATGAGTGGGCAACTGTCGAGAAAAACAGCAATGTCATAAGTATTGCAATAGACTCCGCCTTGCATGATTAGTTGGAATTCCTTCAGATTGCGATACAAAAACGGCAGTCCACGTATGTTGTGCTTCAAATCTTCATAATTTGGAGATATGCCCTGAATCCAGACATTATGGTTATGAAATAACTGCGGTAAGAAGTCGATATCCTACTAAATTAGACAAAGTTTCCGAAAGAGGGCGACTTATCGGAATGTGAGATACCTCGAGAAAGATGCTGTTCACCGTGAGAACGCTAACGTGAGCGAGATTGTCCAAAATGTTCCGGACGAAAGAATGTCTCATGAAGCCTTTTGGGGGTACGAAATTCAGTACTGCATCCTTCAGCTGCGATATATCTTCAAAGAGGAAGAGAGGTACTTGACCATAGAAATAAAACGAGCGAAGGCTCGGAGCATCCATTTCAATTAGCGAAAGATCCGAGCAATCTCCCAACTTTAACACCTTAAACCTCTTAAGATTTTGTGCATTCAACTTCAACTGACGGATGGCATCACAACGTAACAGTTCAAGAGTCTCGAGGAGGGTGCAATTACGAATTATGGTTTCGATCATCTCTGACGTAATTTCAACCTTCTTCAGAATCAGGGTATCCAGGAGATGCAAACTGGTGAGATTTGGTGGAAAATCAATTTCACAGAAGGTCAACTTCAAAACTCTCAACGACTCAACATCGATAAAATCGCGAGAAAGCAGGAAAGGCTCAACCCTCGCCGCGATAAAGTTTAACTCCAGCTCCTCCACCCCTTTCGAAATCGAGATTTCGATCCACTTCCTGACCATCGCATCAATATCCGTTGGATCGATATATAACTTGAAGCTTTGGATCTGTGGACCTGCATGAGCCCTGAAAACGTGGTTAATAATCGAGATAGCTTCTAGAATGCCTTGGTGCGTTGTGAACCATCTACCAAAGTGTAACTTCCTGCTGAAGAGCCAAACTTGCTTGTATCTTCTCGAGACAACTCCGGCCCTCACTGCTTGTTTAATGGGCAAGAGCGTAAAGATGCGCTCTAGCACGTCTTCGGGAAGGTCAGGCAACAGCTTACTCCTACTCCGGCGATTCCTTGTTAAAATGAGAGGACCATCGGACTCTGCCTTGCTCCTTATCGACGATGACAGGACCATTTTCGTAAACTTTCTTCACTTTCTCCTGCCAACGACCGTGTATCGAAAGAGCTGGTTCTTTCGAAATTCCTGGTGATACTACGAAAAATTATGAGAAGCACAGATGGGATAATGCGTATTTATAAGTAGAGAAGATGTGCCTTCCAAAATGTGTCTTTGAAAAAGAAGGACAAAACATAAAGGCCAGAACCATTCCTTGTTCCATAAATGAAAAGAAATATCAGTACTGATCTACATTAGATGTCTGCATTGTTTTGCTTGCCCAAACAGTCATCTCCTTTAGAGCATGAAGGGTCCTCTTTTGAGTACTATAATCAAGTTACGCTTTATTTTTCTGGTCATATCGATTTGCACTGTTTCGGCACTTCAAATGCCTCAAATGAGATAATGTATGCTAAAATGGGGTGGCCGAAACAAACTCTAGCGACCAATAATTGGTCTTAGTACAGAAATCTCAATTCGAACTTGCGCCTGCCTTGTTTTTCATACTAGCCGTGTACCGAACAGAAGTCCTATCTTAGGACCGTCGAACATACTTTTCATGAATTAGCCTTTGTACGAAAATGAAAGACTAATTTTCGTCATGGGAAGGGGGGTGATGTTCTTTTCCTCTTCACTATGAAATAGATAGTATCTTTGCTACAATTCAGCGTCCGCCTGTACTCAACTTGACTTGACATGTTAAAGACGGTGTGAATGTAACCACATCGCATGACAATCGAAAAAACAGGAGGGAATAGTAGGCAAATTAACAAGAAGAGGGAATGTTCAAATTTAAACATCTGATCTCAGCTCTGCTACAGCGTCCAACGACCAACGGTCACAAGTAGCAGAGTGAGGCAGTCAAGCTATGAACCGGATGCTTGGTCAAGGAATTGGATTAAGGATCGGGAGAGCTTATGTTGCTGCCTGGACAATTGGCAAACATTCCTCATATTCCCCATAACCTTACATGTACCTTCAGCTAAAAAAAAACTTATGCCCCAGCCCCCAAGATGCATGAGGCCCCCCTCTTCCACTCTCACTCTGTCTGTTCGATTAGCACCCACGTCGATCGTCGCCATCCTGCACCACCACGACTGTACTACTGTCTATGACCCTTTGAATCCACGAGCCAACCTCTTTCTCCTCCATTAGGTCAATTCTCTTGGGCTCGCTTCCTCCCTGTTGTCACCGATCTCTCTCTCTCCTCTTGTAAGAGTCCCAATTGCCGTGTGCTCTTATGCCCTTGACAGATCTCGTTGATGGCGCAGAATCAGACGAGGCCCTTGCACGCCATTTTCAGAGCCAGAGGTTCAATGAAGCTCTTCAATGGGGAGGCGACGCCATCGTCAAGCTCTCGTTGGTAGAGAACGACAGAGATTAAGACATGAACGAGACAGAGAAGCGATGGACATGAAATTAAGTCGAGGCCAAGGTGACAGAGACAGGTGGTGGTTGTACCGGTTTGGAGTGGAGAAGGTGGTGGCTGTGACAGAGAGGCGTCGGTGTATTCTAAGAGGGGGTGCGAGAGAGGAAGGTAAAGAGAGAGAAGTGTCCTTGGGACTGAAAGAAATGTAACTTTTTTCAAATTGGTGTGTGCGTGACTGTAGGTAACCAAAAATGCACTTTAAGGACCGCCTTGTGTCCAGGCAGCAGCGTTAATGTTACAGGGCGGCAGCAGGATAACCTCTCCCCAAGGATCTATTTACCTTGCTAGACAAGAAGAATATTCAAACAAGCCCGCGAGAGCAAATTGCAATCAGTCCAACCGATCATATAGGTTGTACTTCTGGCCTCTGCACTTCAGTGTTGCCTCAATGGAAAAGTGTCCTAAAGTAATGGAGCAAACACTCTAACAGTGAACACTCTCTGATCGCATTTCGTACAACACAGAGAATTGCATTATTGCATTTATTTGAGCAACTGAGTGCAGGCACCAATTTATCATCTCAATCTTCCAATCCCTAGTAGCAAGACCACGAATCTCTTAATTTATGCACAGAAACTATGACAGAATGGACAAGAAACCGGCAAGCGTTTGTTACCTAAGCACATCTGGTCATCATACTGCATGAAGATATATAATATTAGGTTGGACTTCCCAACAAAAGAAAGTGAAGGTTCTAACATGTTTCTAAATACACTATTTTGTTGAAGAAAAGCAATCAAAAATTGCACTATAGCAAGAAAAGCTAGCTTCACTGGGAAATGGATCCATGATCATGGAGGGAGGTCAGCACTCAGCAGTTACCTAAATGGTGGGCTTGTAAACAAAACCTTTGCCCCACCAGGAATCCTATACAGCCAAAAGCAGCCGCATCAATCTTGCATAGGCTTAAGTGAGACTGGCAACAAAGAGCTAGCGTGTCTTCTTGTTCTTTTTCTTGCCCTTATCTCTCCCTCTCTTATTCTGCACCTTTCTGTGTGATTTCTGCTTTACCACTTTCTTGAATGATTTCTTATTCACAGGTACACTGTGCCCTTTATCAGCTCCAGCAGCTTTGTTGGTCCATGTCTTCTCAATGAGATTATTTTCTTCATCCGACGCGATCTCACTTGTTTTCACAGTGACCTTCATGTCTCCATTATCATATACTGTCATTCCTATCCTCCAAAATTTCAGAAACGTATATTAGCATAAGGCATAGATATCATGCCTCAAACCGAATCCACCTGGACCCAACAATTTAAGGGAACAAAAGCAGGCATTTACAACTACACTGAAACACATTAGCCAAAATCCCTAAACTGGAGAAAGTATAAAGTGGAAGATCTTCTTCATGTCTGGTGGTGGGACAAACCAAGATTTAGATCGCATCTTATCAGAAGAAAACAAATTTATGTTTAAAGTTCAACTGCATTCAATAAGAAAAATTCACGATCAGTCAGTTTGACTATGTGATATCAACAGTTGGCGAAGCTGCTGCATGATATATTTGCCACTCAAACTGGCAAGTCCTTCAACAATACAGAAGTACCACAGAGCTTCCATAACCAACTGAAGTTAAGGTACATAAGAGAAATATAAGCATCAATCAACCGCCAAGGTAAAAAATGTGAACTACCATAAACCAAACTGACAAAAATTAACTATACCAAACCATAGAAGTTATCAACTCATGATTGGTTGCTCAATTGCAAGATAAGGAATCCAAAATACAACAAACGCAATCCATTAGATGGACCATTAGACCCTCCAAATAAGTGCTAAATAAGCTGTACATAATCTCATCGAAGTTTGAAGCAATTAAATTTACCTGATGTAGATATGCGGGGCTCAGTTTCCTCATCATTCTCTAATAGCTCATCATTTTCATCAAGTTCAGTACCATTGGATGGAGGACCTCCATCATAATAAGCAAGCTCTCTTTCTAGCTTTCTCTGGACACAAGTTGCAAGGCTCAATTCAATAAAGTTGATATGACAGATATCAATCCAAATGCAATGCCCTCCCGACAAATATTGAAATCAGACATGAAGAATATCAAGATGGAAATTAAAAGGTATGAGCATTTGAAGCAACATGAGGGGAGGTAACATGAAAGATGCAACGGTCGATATTATGCAAGTGATAAACTTGGATCAAGAAAGAGCAAGTTGGCTATCTTTATTCTGTAATTTAAGGTGTCCATTCAAGTAAAAGAGAAAAGCTAAGAGGATGCAATTCAGAGTTCAAGAGAGAAGCAACGACCCTGAGCTTGTAGAAGTTTATTACTCTGACACTTAAAATCATAGGACTCTTCTCCCGATTTGAAAAATACAACAGTATGGTAGATCGGGCAAGTCCCGAAACGAAAAAAAGATACCTGCTGGTCATGACTCTAGTTTTACGCACTCAATCCACCGAAACCAGAAGGTGAATACTCTCTTTTTTAGTCAGTATCTAAAACCCCACTCGCTCATCTTTAACTCAAATCCTAATTGACATGCGATGCCTCGTTCATGAAAAACAATGGTAACACACAAAAGATTATTCACATTATAAGAATTCTTCCCCCGGAAGATGCAAAACTGCCATGTAAGTCTCATACATGAAGGCAAATCCATGATCAACACCTTAATATAATTACAATTAAGTAACACACTAACACTTATTCCGCGAAACATCGAATTCATACACACTGAGCTACAAAACAACAAAATCACTCCAAGGATCCACACCCTGAAATCATCCATTGCATTTGATTCCAACTAACAAAGAACGAACCAATTCCAATGCCATAAAGCCTCAAAAAAAATTCCGAAAACTAACATTCAAATGACAAGGTCCATACCTTCTTCCGCTGCTCGATTCGCTTGCGGCGCTGCGCCTCCTCTTGCTGCTTTTGCGCTTCCTTTCTCCTCTTCTTCTTTCTCTTGTGAAACCCCGTCACAAAGTCCCTTCGTCAAGACCCAAACTACAAATTAAAAACACAATAACTGCACTCGAAACTCTTGTCTCTCACACAAACACACACACACAGAGGTTCCAACAAAACGGAATTACACGACAACAAGGTTCAAGCGAAAAAAATTCACCAACTCAAACGTACGAGTGGAGCACGACAATCGATGCCCGAATCGACAGCCGCACACCCTTCTTCTGAATTACCGACGGCGAGCGAACAAAGACAAGCACGGGCCGTATAGTTCAAGTCAATTGTTGTACCTGAGGTCTTTCTCGTTGAAGGCGACCGAGAGAGCTTTGTTCTTGAGAGCTCGCTTCCTGATGTGACGGCCTCGAACGCGAGGCGCGTCGTCTTCAACCTCCACTTCGTCCGCCATTGATGCGAACCCACCTCCTGCTTCAGCTCAAGCTCCTCGCTGGTTGAAGAAAGGCGCGATTTTTTTCGGAGTTCCAACGACCCGATTCGGAACGCACTGTTTCGATTTAGGGTTCATAGTCATTTGGGCCGAGCCTATCAGCCTCTTCCTTGAGAACCCACAAAAAAGAAACCCTCCCCCAAAAAAAAAAATTTTGAGGAGCCTAGCAGGCTTGCTGCCTCTTCTATTGAGACCGGCTCCTCCTGGAACCGTTTCGAGGTTGAACTAGATTTGAAGAGGCCTGATTGTTCGCCTTTCATCGCCTTTTGTTTTGTGAGGCGAATCAGTGAACGGTATTTGCTTTATTTCGACGTCGGATCTACTTTATGAGAAAACAAGGTTAATTCGATAAAGCATGACGAGTTTGTTTTTAGTTTTTCTTGTTCTCATTTTACTTTTGGGCATGCTTGTATGGATCAGGTGCGGTGATTAGGGGGCGAGCAAAAGAAACCGCCTGGACCTGGAATCGCCCGGACCGACCGATTCTGGGCAGTTTTTCCGGTCAATTATCCAAATAACAGGTTTAGGATCGAATTAACAAATTTTCAAAAAGTTTAAAATTAAATTGACAAATTGAAAGGTTTAGAACTAAATTGGCAAATCGTTAAAAGGTTTATGACTGAATTGACACAATTGAAATATTTAGTATTAAATTGGTCGTCATACAATAGATTCGGGACTTTTAGGACAATTATCACAGGGATTTCCATGGTTTTTACATTTTGCAGGATGATTAGTTGGTCCCACACATTGAAAACATTCGTAATGACAATTATTGCAACTCCATTTAATTTGGACACCTACATTATAAACCCATTTGAACGATCGCTTTCTGGGTTGACTTCAAGAGCTTCAAAACCTATTGTTCTCATCACAGCAGATGAAAAAAGAATTCTCTGCACTATCACGTTCCCTTCTATTTCTGAGGAAAGAAATTTCCCCTTTAAATCACCGTAACACAATGGAGTTCAAAAATTTCCTGCCAAATCTACATTTCATTTCTGAAGCTTTAAGAACTGAATTGTTCTTTGATTTTCCCACATTGCTCTGTTTGCATCTAGAATGGCAAAAATGACCTTATGAGCGGGAATATGAGGACGACGACGATGACGACGATGACGACGATTATCGCATAGCACATCCATTTCCGCGAGCTCTTCTGGTGCTCCCTCGCCTCCTGGAGCTGGCCGGTGCCCCGCCGCACGAACGAGTTGGCGTGGGTGACGTGCGACTCGATGTCGTTGAGCTGGTGGCCCTGGGCCTCCACGAGCGCGGCCATGTCCAAGAACACTTGGTGCAGCTCGAGCAAGTTCTTCTCGATCTCCTTCACGGCGTCGTGCCTCTCTTGAATCTCCGATATCGTATCGAGAATCTGGCCTCGCCCTTGTTCTTGGATTGCCTTCTGCAGGAAACTCTCGCTCTCGCCGCTTGAGATCAAGTTCTCGATCGTCTCCTCATCCGCCTTTTGCCCCGTGATCGTGAAGTATCTCCGCTCGATGGTCTCCTTGTACTCCTCATTCATTTTGGACCTCAAGCTTTGGAAGTCGTCCATCAAGTCCTTGAGCTTCTTCCCTAGCCCGCCGACGACCGCCGTCCTAGTCCGGTCTGCCGACGTGCCGGGCCCGCACCCGGGTATGCTCCGGTGGGCCACATTGGACCGCTCGAGGGCCTCGAGCTTGCCCTTGATGATTTTGGCCCGCTTGAGGACCTGCCCGACGTCAGCGTCCATCCGGGACCGGAGCTGTTTCATCGTGTTCGCGTTGTGGACGGTTTTGCTCTCTTCATTGGCCTCTTGCAACCTCTTGTACAGCTTCTCGACCTGGTTCATGTCCTCCTTCACGTTCTCAACGTCCTCGAAGAACTTGTCGAGGTTCACCGTCTCCTTCCCCGCCTCCATGTCGTCGAGGTAGTTCTGTTGCTTGAGGTCCGTGTATTTCTTGAACGAGCCGGAGAATAAATCATTCATCTTGCCAAAACTTTGCTTCTTTCCCTCTTGATCTCCCTCCGGATAATTTCCAATTATCCCTTTCCTCTTTGTTTTTGGTGCAAGGACATGAAGGAACCCTAAACGCTAATAATGAAGAGAATCATCCTCCTCTTCAATGTCTGAAGATGATTGTTCTGTTTTCCTTTGTTATGGAGGATGGGAAGGTGGCAAACAACAGCAGAAAGAATCGAACCCACCAGCAAATTGATGCATCATACGAGCTTTCCTTAATTTTTGGGGTTTGAGGTTGAATGCTACACAAAAGAGGGGTTGAGGTTATTTTTGGGGACCATAGAACAAAACGAGAGCCGTTCAAGAAAGCTGAGCACTTCCATTGGTTGCTCTTGATGTAACATGTGGCATCCTCTCTTTCATGAAAAATTTGGAGGATTGGGGTTGTCCGAGTTGACTTGGTCTTTCTCTTCCCTCCCTTGCCTAACGATACTTGTTGACTTCCAACATCAATTAACTGCATAACCCTAGCTACAAAACTTAACTGCGTTGCATTTCCATGAGACACTAGCGAGAATTTCGATCCGACAAATCTTTTTGTTATTGATGAACACTTGGAATATAATTGGTACCTACTCGAGCGTGACTCAAAATTACTGGTGAATGAAACTGTTCTTGGTTAACCTACCCTCCTACTCTCCTTGATGCTGAAACTCCCATCTCACCAGTCATGACAAAACAGACTCTGTTCCAAACTGATTCAAGATGGGGACACTACAATCATGACACAAATCATTAGGATGCGAGATGCCCAGAACTGACAGCTGCATGCATAATTGCCTTTGGTCTTACAGGAGATAGCAGCGAAATGATACTCGGAGGGATTGAGGTCCTACAGACTACACGAGATGTATTCTATGGTTAAGGAGAAAAGGGAAGTGTCATCTCCCATTGCTCGAACTTGGTCTTGTCTCACTTTCCCTTTCTCCCATCTTGTTCCCAGCTAGGAAATATCGGGGCTTTATCCGATTCAATGAGCGCATTGATAGATCTTATTAGAATTCTCTCCGTAGATTGAAAACTCAAAGTTCTGTTCCAGAAGCAGAGCAGTGATCTGAAACTGTGGATCACTACAGATATCCGACAGAGCCAATCGCCTAAACTGGAATGACATACCCAACTGATTGATTCTAAAACAGAGGAGTCAATGTTGAAGAGGACGATGGCCAATACAGAACCTTGAAGAGTATGAGGATCGAGTCAGCTCTTAACTAAGATAGGTTATTGCCTGTTTCACACCCATAGATACACGCATTCGACATTGTAAACCGAATATAAAGGACAGATCCAATCTTTATAAGGCCAAATTCTCGTTCTTACAGTTGTTAAATCAAAATACCATTACTCTCAAAAGGCACACAATCGCAGAATCAACAACCCTTTCAAGCTCCAATTCGATCCAATCACATAACAGCGACAATATGAAGAATTATCTACCAAAGACCACCCACAAATAGAGAGGCAAAAACCAAAATCAATTTGGTTGACAAACCTAGTAAAGCACACTCAGGTACCGGCATTAGGCAATGCTGCCATGAATGAATTGTATGCCGACTCCAGATCAAAGTGGAGCTGCCGAGACTGCTGCTCTGTCAACTCGTCTGCTGCCCCCATCTTGGAAAGCCTCAAAATCCACTCCTTCATCTTCATCTTCCCCTCAAAGTCCGGCGGCAATATCGTCAGCTTGTTGAGCGAGGTTGAGAGATCTGACAACAAAGGATGGACCTGATCCACCGCCACCATGTTCAACTTCAACGAGTCCATCGCCGTGATGAAGTTCTGCACGCACTCTGCAACAATGGCGGCCGACGTGGTAGTGCTTGCAGCTGCGGCGGCACGGTGCTCCACTGTGGCAGGAACTCCCGAGACCACCAGCCTATTGATGGCAGCTGGGCAGTCCATCTTGTACGTGTCTGCGAAGCGCTCGATGCTGGGGATCGTGTCCTTTAGCGTGGAGGATAGGGTCTTGAAATGTGCGATGAGCTTCTGGCAATTGGTCTCGTACTCGGAAGGCGAGATGGTGTCGCGGATATACGCCTTCTCCAGCTTCTCGGTGGCTCGGATGATAGCATACAGCTCGGCGAAATTCTCGTACATCTCTCTTTCGCGCTTGTCATTCCATAGCTTGACCTCCATCACGATTTCTCGGAGAGATATTGTATTGTGTATGGAATTGGGGTATTCGAGGAAATTACGGATTCGGGATAGTGCGGAGGATTGGAGAAGGGAACGGGACACGCGCAAAGAGAAGAAACCTTCTTCACTGAACAGCCATTACGACAAAATCAGCTAATTCAAGCTCTTGAGCTCGACCCAACATTGCATAAACAGCACAGATGCAAAGCAACAATCGCAGAAACTATAAACAGTAATGAACACAAGGACCCAAGAAACGAATCATCATGCTGGGTTGACCCAGTAAAGGGGAAACAAAACCATCAACCAAAGTTCCCTTTTTTTAACGAAGAAACAAAACAAGACAAAAACTTTAGCATTTCACGATAAGACCCTCCCCCACCATTCGGCAGAAACCAAGCCCGAAAGCCCCAACGAATCAACCCTTCGGAAACGCGCACAAGATTAGAAATTCGCAGAGAACCAAGAACCCGATGAACAGGGGAAAAGCCCGCCCGTCTAACCCATGACTCGGCGGAACCGGAACCGAGCAAATCAGCGCACCCACAACCTCAAGAACGCCCAAGAACCCTAGATCGAGCAAGCACGGCTAAAACCCAAGGAACCCATCACAGAAGATCGCCGCGGCGACGAAGTCAATGGACGACCCAGCACGTTACTGAGCTCGAAGAAGACGACGACGACGACGACGACGACGATGGCGATGGCGAAGAATCAGTAGCAGCGCACACAAGAACCAAGATTAAATATGGGAATCAAGAGAGAGAGAGGTAGAGAGAGAGAGAGAGAGAGAGAGGGAATGGCTTACAGAGAGGGAGGACGCGGGATTGGGTGTGCGTTGAGCTCTCTCTGTGTATCTCGTGAGAGAGAGAGAGAGAGAGGGAGATGGAGATGGAGATTGCAAGCTGAAGAGGACTTTTGCAATTTTTTGCACTTTTGTTTTTTTTTTGAAAAATCGGGTGTGAACGATGTTCTTTTTATTTGTTTTATTTATTATGAATAGAAAATGAAGACTCCATTTGCATGCTACAAGTTATTGTAGATGATGATTGAGGGCCTCCTCCCTTTTTTTTTTTTTTTATGGTCTTTAATAATTAGAAGGCTTTATTTATTTTCCAGTCAAAATTATAAATCTTAGAGTTACGCGATAAAAATTCAAAACTGGTACACTTGTAATAAATTTATCAAAAACTAATTTTTTTCACCACGGGAAATTGCAAGCTGGTACACTTGCGCCAAATTTACCTTCCGTTAGTTTCCGTTTGTCAAATTTTACCATCAAATTGCTGAATTTGATGACAGATGACAGTTGATGGGTGTACCAGTTTAGGGTTTTACCTCCGTTTGTCACATGTGTACCAGTTTATGATTTTTTGTGATATTAATCAATATAATAGAAACTAATAGAGGATAAATATGTTACAAATGTACCAATTTAAAGTTTTTTGTAATAAAAAAAATTATTTTGAGTTTTTCATGGTATTAACCCTTAATATTAACTGATTTTCAAAAAATTATGAAAATGTTATACGTGAATTTACGAGTCGATATTTTTTATATTATGAAAGTTTCGGGTGTTTTGAGTTTAGAAAAAAGGCAAAGTGCGACCATGTGAGATTTAGATTGAGTGAAAAGTAGAACATAAATATTAAGCCAATGCGAGCCCTGAGTACTATAAGGTGGAATTCGAGCCTAAATGGAGAAATTATGTCTGGCCAAACTAATTTCAAATATATGATGTGTTCGAATTTGGGAAAAAGAAGTTTGATGTAATTGCGTTTACCTTTTGAAGCTCTCTCTTAGGAGACACTTAAAAGCTCTATTTTGGAAGCGGGGAAAAACAGGTAGAAGATGTGGAACATTTTCAATTTTTTGAGGAAAGGAATGAAGGGAAAGATTGAAATTAGCTACATTTTCTCTCCATAGTTTCTTCCTTTAGGCTCCCAAACATAGCATAGAGGTAGTTTTACATAAAAGAATGTTTAAGCTACTATGCATTATTTTCCTTCGAGCCGCGTCCAAACGACTTCATTACTCAATCATTTCTCTTCTTTATTCTCGTATTTATCTTAAATCTCTCCTTTTCATTTGTGATCACCCCATCCAAAATTGAGTGTGGCTTGCTCACTAATCAGATAAAGTTAAGTATCTTGAAAACTGGATTTTATCTCCATACTTTTATTTGACTAGTGCTTTCAAGCTGGACGTGAAGTGGGCATTTTAAATGAAGCGTTGGATAGTCACACTTAGACTCTCGGTAAGAATCGAGAGCCTGCCTTGGATCTTTGGTGGTGTTACCGAGGATACCTCACTAGAGAAGGGGAAGCCTAAGCTTTCAACTGGGCCACCCCGTTTGTTCGGGTACATACACCTGGCTGGCTGACAAGATTGCGTTCGTTATTTTTATTTGCCAATGGCCGCACGCCCAGCTCTCAAGTTGGGGGAAAGTTTTTTCTTTCCTCACCTCATGAAATACCCTGTGTTTAACGTCCTAAAGTCCAGACAAAGTAGTTGAAGGACTTGCTCAGGGGTCCATAATTTGCCTTCATCGAAAATTGAATAAAATTCGAAATCTCAACTCCTCTTCCCATTTTCTCTCCTCCACCCGTCGCCTCCGTTGTACCTCCTGCCAACTCCCACAACCTCCGTTACACCCGCTGCTCCCCGTCCTGCCGAGGTCGACTCGAACCTACTAAGCATAGCATGGCCGAAAGACGGCACGAAGGCATGGCGGTGGAGCGGCCAACGGTGTAAGAAGCAAGACGATCGCCCCGAGAGAGGAGGGAGGTTTCGTGCTAAGATATGATTGAAATCGATCAAGTACGGAAAAGATTATGATTAGATGGACGCATGTCACAATCTTAAATATATAAAGATGGAAGATTGTATTAGAGCGAAGCAAAACACGAACCCTTTTGTTTTTTTGTGTTTTACAAACACGAATTTCATAATCTAGACTAGCACTCGTTTCAAAGACATCTGCTAAAGATTCTCCAGACTTCGAAAAAATCAAGAACCATTTCGCGTCAAGTGTCAAACAACGACACACCGTGCGACAGCTACGGCGAAAAGAGGAGGCTACCGTAACATAGCATCATCGTCCTCTGACCCCCCCTCCATCAATCGCGCTGTACCTAAAAAACGTCGATGTGCAGAGACAGTGAGAGAAAGAGAGAGAGAGAGAGAGATAGCGTGTGGAACGGGAGCTATGATTGGAGGATTACGCCATCTGCGTGTAGCAGTTGAGGTGGAGGGGGAGATGATGAATCATTGCGGGCGAAGTTTCTTCTCTCTCTCTCTCTCTCTGCTGCTGTCATTTGTTATGGGGGTGCGTTCGAGGTTTCCACTGAAGTTGACGTCTCTGCCCTGAACCCACCACCTCTGCTTTTTCCCCCTAATCTAGTCTCTATCTGATCTGTGATCCATGCAATCATCGAGATCACCTTTTCAAATTCCTTTTTCATATCTTGCGATCTTGTTTAATCATCCTCCTCCTCCTCCTCATCCTGTGACATGGTCCGAGTGGCTTTACTTTTCTAAACCCACTCGACCGCTCGGTCGCTCGCCTTCCTCTCGTTCGGATCCGTCATCGCGAGTCATTCCTCTTGCGGCATTGTTCGCGATTCGCTCGCGTCCTCACGACTTCAAAACGGATCGTGTTGGTTTGAGATTACGCGGCGGGCGTCTATCTCCTTGCGTGACGGTCCAAGTGCGAGCAAAGGCAAATTTTGACGCTCTACGCTAAGGGCATGTATTGGTCCCGATCTAACTCAGAAATTGGACTGAACTGGACCGAACCTGCCAATTCTAAATGGTTCCCGTGGGAATAGGTCCAGTTTCTAATTTCTAAGGAGGAATCTGATCGACCGGATTGAACTGACAGAACCGATTCAGAGTATATTATATTTTTTATTTAGCAAGGATAAAAAGTACAAATTATTCGGGGGAGTAGCCTCTTCTTTTATTAGTATGTGATTACTAATTTCATCGCACACTAAAATAACTTGCTATATATCTAAAAACTTTTGAGAAAGAAAACAAAACATTTTAAAAAAATAACACCATGGTTTTCGAAACAACCCATGAACTAGCTGGTCCAGTCCGATATGATCCCGTGGTGGAGAGGGTTGATTCCCGATTTCACAAATTGAGAACCGACTCACTTTGGAATTAATTCGACTATCCCTACTTGACACCTCCTTTGTTGTCATATCATGGAGAAAAAGCCCCTCGGGCCCTCTAACTAGCACGATATTGTCATTACCAATTTCCTTAGATTGACTCATTAAGCACTTTTTTAGTCTTTAGTTTTTGTTTGCGCGATGTGTTATATTAAGGTTCTAATAAATTGGAAAAGTCATATCACATTTTGGTGATTTGTCTCATCTCCCCTTTTTCAATTTTTTAAATAATTCTATGATCTCTCTTTCGATAGAAAAACTATGAATTTGTAATGATAGTAAGATCATCGTACTCTTTCAATATACACAACCAATCCAATGCATTGCACGAGTATCATTATAATGTCTCTATTACGTCGGTATGTCGCATATTGTAAGTACTAACATTGCATTTAGGAATCATTTTCTCAAAGGTTTTTGAGCCTATAAACACTCTCTGGCCAAATTCAAAGGGGTTTGGCAATTTTTTTTGAAAAACTCTGGGGAAATGCATTGTATTTCTAAAGTACTCTAAAAGGCCTTTACCCAAGGCAGATTCGTAGGAGCTTTGGGCTTTAACATTTCCGAAATGCTAATACATTTTTTTTCTTCCAATTATTGCCCTCGCTAAATTTTCGAAATTACAAAAATGCCCTCACCATTTTCCACCTTGCGCGACCCTGGTGATAGCCGCCGATACTGGCTCATCAGCATCCAACGAAGGATTTGAGGTTCATATTTTTTTCGGAAAAGAAGAAGAAGCAAAAAGTCATTTACAAGCGTGATTTTTTCCAAACAAAATTTAACCAAAGTTTCTTCCCAGTGCACATCTACATTATGCGTTGTCAAACACAATTTGCATTTCGAAAAATTTCTTTAACATAAAGTCCCTTACATTTCCCCAAAGCCTTTCCCAAAAAGTCGAACCATACGCAACCTAAGAACTTTACGAGGAATTACTTTTCAAGTAAGATGTGGGCTCATAATCTAGGCTTGAATTTGGGCCAATGGCATATACCAAACATGGGCCTCCGACCTGTTCACTATATGCTTGGCCCGCGAAGTCAAAATTTAACTATATCATGTTGTCACACCTAATTATGTAATTTATGAAATTTTGAACAATGGTCGTAACTTCCTTTTTTTTTCTAATTTTTGGCAAAGTCGAAGAGGACGGATTTGAAAACAACCGACGACATCATTCTAAGGTTTCTTTATAACCATGTTTGCTTTTTAACAGATGTTAACAAGAACTAGGAGATAAGGGATAATGCTAAGTATGTACAGATGAGCTTATCGGCCTAGATCTAGGGCTAATAATTTTCAACACGGTCCATTCACATTGCACACGGCTTACCGTGTTAGTATGAAACCTAATTGTGTTCTTATAAAAGCAAGCCAATCATTTATGCATGAACTATTGACATACCATGTCCGGATCAATCCTTTTAATCCATTTTATGACGTGCTTAATCATATTATCTTAACATACTACTTGTACTTATAGGACACGCTTAGATGCATGTAGCTACGTTTACGTGTACTTGAACATATTTTCACAAAATTAAATATAAAAGTTTATAGCCGAAGAGGTCAAATGTGTTGTTTCATCACCTAAATTTGACATGATATGAAGACAGATTGTTAGTTCTACCTTGCAATCTGCCACATCATTATTAAAATTGCAAAGAGATTGCTTTCCTAATCCCATTTTGGCTTTTCATTGTTCCTTTTCAAAAGCCAGATCGCTGCTCTTCAAGAGACGACATTTGCGGTAGCAAATGACTGTATTCATGACTAACAGCTTGAGAAGTCTTGGG